TTCAAGTAAAATATTCTTTTATATTTACTTTTTCGGTATTTGACAAATATCTACGTCAAGGTTGAGGTCGAATCCATCGGGCGGGGCATGTAAAATAACTTGTCGAAAATTGATGGATGAGTTATTTTTATTAAATTTTAATAATTATTTTTTTCGTAAATATTTTACGACAACTAAATACCAAAAAATAAAAAAATATTTTACGTCCAAACAAACGGAGCCTTATTAAATTAAGATCACTCGCGTTTTTTAACCTCCATATTTGATGCTAAATGTGATGGTGAAGAACTTCAAAACTATACTGATTGTGAACACACTTTTTTTTCCCGGTAATTGAGTGAGAATGCAATAAAAGAATAAATTTTGTTGTTTCTTTCACTCCATATGTAGTAATACAGAACTTGCCAGAGTAAGCTTCCAATTAAGTAAGAATATTTCTAAACTTTGCTTTATGTCATTTCTAATTAAATTTTAAGTACTATAATTAGAGAGTAATGACTAATAAGTTAATAACATGGTCAATTTAGTCTAATTAGGTTATGATCAATATGTGAGTAAAATAACGTTTGGATGCTACTGTTTATTATGACTGACGACATATATGTGTGTGTGTGGAGAAATTAAATTATTGAATCAAACAATAAATAAAAGACCGGTATATAAATCAAAGTTATAATTGAATTCAAAAAATAAATATAATTGGGTTTTGAATAATTATCGGCTGCACTAGGTAAACCCGATCTATCGCAGCCACTTTAACCCAAAATTAAAGAGTCGCTATCACTATCACATGTTCAAGAAGTTTTGTATGATAATTTGTCATTCCATCTCATTCGTAGTTTTGTATGATAATTTGTCATTCCATATAGAATTCATTCGTTCATGATTCCTCCGTTGTATGAAAGAAGTGAAATTATTTTTTTCAATCCAAACATCAGTAGGATGATAAAGACTTACAATAATGTTATATTTGGAACACTGACAACTTAGATTTGAAATTGAAAAATTTTAATTTAATAATCCAAGACGTCGATTGAGGGTGAGATTTGGGACAATGGTAAAGTTGCTCTATTGTGACTGCCTCCCCACATGCAAAAGATATACATTAAATCATGCTAGTCCTTTTAATGCATATAATTGATTTCGTGCCCTCTATTAGGTTGCTCTTATATCTTGAAAGTTATTAAAAATAGTCATTGAAACTTCTACTCTGGTTATAAAAGAGAAACATCTTGTTTTGTTTCCAATCATTTCAATTAACTCACAGGTTGAAGTAAATCTATATTCTGGATCTAAGATCATTGGAGGCTCTTTAAGGTAATTACTAATTTATTCTCAAATTACCCATGCATTCAGTATGCATAAATTTGGAGGTTAAAGGTTTTATTGTAATAATACATTATGTATATTTGGAGGGACAAAAATTAGTACAACAATGGTACTACGAAGTATATATATAAATAATTTTTTATACATTTTTGTGTGTATATATATATATATATATTAGAGCTTTTGAAATGGAGCAGTGAGAGAGAAGGAGAACCGATTCAAAAGAATGGAGAAGCTCGTTATTAATAACGGCAATATTATATAATCAAATACTTCAGATTTTATGGTTTATTTTTTAAACTAGAGGAAAGATATGTGTAATTTGTCCTTCTAAACTAATTAAAATTATAAAATTTTATTTTTTTATATATAAATTTCAAAGAAAAGAGAAATTAGACCGTACTTTTTTCAATTTTCAATTACAATTACTAAATTATAGTCTTAATTGCACTTAACCCTCTTATAATATCATTTTGTGCCACATAGTCCCAAACTATGTTTTTGGCAAATAATCCATATGATATACAATGATAAAATAGGAGGGTTAATTGCAATTTTGCCAATAGTTTAAGTTTTTATTTTGTAAACTTATTGCAACAGGAAGTGCTTACTCTCCCATAAATGAGAATTTTTCGGATAGAGGAATTGATGAATTTATGACAATATATAATAATGAAAGTGGGTTTAAAATATAAATAAATAAATAAATAAATATATATATATATATATATATATATATATATATATATATATAATCAAAATAATTCATTCCGCCAAACTAGTCTCACTAACAATAATGCATCATTATTCATAAGTAAATTAATATCTTTTATTATAATAGCGCCATTTAAACAAATACAATTTTTTTTAAACCAAATTTTATTAATAAATCAGTAAAAAAAACACCCACTTCCACTATATAGCCAAAATTAAAATAGATTATCCCATCACATGCATCAATATCCAATTTCACATTTTTCCTTCATGATTATAAAAACTATAAATTACAGATTGATTCCATTTTTTCTGTTTACTCCAACCTCTTAAATGTCACTTTATATTACTAGAAACATGTTTTCGTGGAGTTGAACTTGTGTTTGCCTCTCAAAATTTTGGATAGTAGTAATATATATATATATATATATATATATGTGCAAAAGTCATAAAAATTGTAGCCTTTGATCAGTGTTTTAATGCATGACATATAAGCCTAACGGAAAAGGAAAAAGAAAAAGAAAAAAAAAAAAAAAAAAAAAAATCATGTAAAATTGGTGGTTGACACCTAGTTGCAAATGTCACAAATCATACTTAAATTATGACCACAAGAAAATAAGCTTCTTACACGAGAGAACTATCAATATTGTCAGATGAAATCTCTTTAACTTCCGAGAAAAAAATAAAATAAAATAAAATAAAAAATTGTTAGATGAAAATTATAAATGAACAAATTATTGTATGCAAATATAGCAGCGAGTCATGAACAAATTGTTAAAAAAATAATAATTGAAAAAAAAAAAATTTGGTTCAAAAATTTAGTCCTAGAAAAATAAAAAGAATGTGATAATTTTTTATCTGATGAAAGGGCAAAAGAAAAACAATTCAAAGGAAATTATTTTTCTTTATTGGGTGGAAATCTCCACCAATGAGGATTCGACACCCAAGCAAGGGACATCACCAATCGTAATATGCCACGTGTCATGAGCAGCAGCCCACTCCAAGTACGGGCCAAGCTTCTATGAAAGCTCAAGAAAAAATGAACGAATCTGGACAAGGCCATGTGGGCCGATCCCAGAGTGCAAGGAGCCCAAGGTGGAACTAAAAAGAGAAGCCCATAAATTCCGGAAAAGATTTTTACAAAAGACAAAAAAAAAAAAAAAAAAGGTAGAAAAGATTTTACTCCGATAATGATGAATAGATTCCATGAGCTAATTATGTCTTGATGGTTTACAAGCTACCATGACTGATTTCGTTGGTTCTATATATACAGAAATGTTCAGTATAAGAAAATATATACACACCTCAAATATTTATCGTAAAATTTCACCGAACAAGTTAAAAAAATAGTTTATATTTTTATATCCAACCGTTAATTCGTGCATAAATTCCTTATATATATATATATACACACACATATATAATTTCATGAAAGGAATCAAGTAAAGGAGGAAAATGGCATTTATAGGTTTTTATGTTTTCTTAATCTTGCCCAGTTTTTTTCTTTTTTCTTTTTTCTGGGAATGTAGTCTAATTCAATGATTTTTCAAATGTTTTGTTTACTTATTTTTTTGTTTAATTAAAATATGTTTACTACCAACTCAAAGAATACTTTTAACATTCCCCTCAAATAATCATTAGGTAGGCACTGACATCAAGCCTAATGACACTAAGTGATCGTATTACCAACTAATTTAATTTAAAAGTTTAAATTGTTACACACCAAATAATTTAAATATTTATATCATCTAACATGCTCTATTATTGCAAATGGACCGAATTGTGCATAAATAATTAAGATATAACTCATATAAAACTCAATTTTTATTGGTTGACTATGGGAATGATTCAAGCTGGACTCAACAATGTTGGGTTAAGTTTATGTAGGTTCATATGGACTAGCAACTCGCATGGACTACTGAATGTGCAAGCCGTATGGGTTTGGCTCATGAACTTAAAATAATTTTGACAATTATCTTACCTATTTAGAATTAAAAAATTTATATATAACAAAAATACGAAAAAGAACATATATGACAAACTAAAGCTCTGTTTGTTTGAGCGTCAAATATTTCTTAAAAATTATTTACTGTATTTTCTAGTGTTTGGTGGTTGTAAAATATTTACGAAGAAAAAAAAATATTAAAACCTTAAAAAAATAACTTATTCATCAATTTTGGCAAGCTATTTTACACACCCAATAGATTCAACCTCAACCTATACCTTTATCAAACACCAAAAAATAAAAAATAAAAGAAAATATTTTACCTGAAAAAAGAAAATATTTTCCCAAAAAATATTTTACGTTTGACAAATGGAGCCCAAAAATAATATAGGAGTATCTATGAGTTCACCAGCCAAACCAAGTCCGCTTGCTTGTGAACTTAACGAACTCAACCGAACCACGAGCTAAGCTCACAAACAAACAAGTAGAGCCCAAAGGTCTCAGCTCAACCAGGCTCAGATAGTCTGGAATATATATGTGTGCGTGCGCGCGCGCGCTCGCGCATATCGGTTGACTTGCAACCCCAGGAACAATGCATCAGTTGCACCATAGACACAACAAGAGATGGGTGAGATGCAGCTAAGATTTATAGAGAAAATAGATGCCTTTATATCACAGAATTAACTGTCCATGTTTCCAACTCTAAGATGAACTGGGTTGGATGATACATGTACCAGTAGAGACAATAGTGAGTGCATTTTTTAACACACAAAAATAGGGCATGAAGAAAGCTACCTAACAAGACAATTTGAATAGGCCTTTGTCACTTCTTCTTCAGCTCCTATCCCATATAGTTTATTCTCTTGTTCACATCTGCATATCATTCATATAATATACCTTAAACAAATGAAACAACTGTTCAATCCTGATGTCAATCCTTGTCATACCAATCCAATATTTCAACTCTCTCTCTCTCTCTCTCTTCCCTATCATTGAACCAGCCTGTCCTACCTCTTAATTTCTTCATTGTCAACCTGCAAAATTATCAAACCTCGGACGATCTGATTCTCCCCGGTTTCCCATCCAGTTTCTGCAGAATTCACTGTCATGGGGCAGGAGACCAGAAGACTCTGCGATGAATATGAAGTTTCAGACATTCTAGGAAGGGGAGGATTCTCAGTTGTGAGAAGAGGGATAAGAAAAATGAGTTCAGGAAACACCCAAGTAGCCATCAAGACCTTGAGAAGGTTAGGACCATCCATTCCATCCGGGACTCCAGGGAATCGCGGAGGAGGAAAGGGTATGGCTTCCATGGGATTTTCAATGTGGAAACAGGTTTCTGTTTCTGATGCCCTGCTGACGAACGAAATTCTTGTCATGAGGAAAATAGTCGAAGATGTATCGCCTCACCCCAATGTGATCCATCTGTACGACGTGTGTGAGGATCCGAGTGGAGTTCACCTCATACTCGAGCTCTGCTCTGGAGGGGAGCTGTTTGACCGGATTGTATCTATTGAGAGGTACTCAGAGGCCGGAGCTTCAGCTGTGGTTAGGCAAATCGCGAGTGGGTTGTGGGCTCTTCACCGAGCTAATATTGTTCACAGGGACTTGAAGCCGGAAAACTGCCTGTTTCTGGATGTCAGCGAGAATTCTCCGTTGAAGATCATGGACTTTGGTCTGAGTTCTGTGGAGGACTTCACCGATTCAGTTGTGGGACTGTTTGGTTCCATCGATTATGTATCCCCGGAGGCTCTTTCTCAGGGAAAAGTGTCTCCTAAAAGTGACATGTGGTCTCTGGGTGTGATCTTGTATATCCTCCTATCTGGGTATGTTCTCTAAAGCATTCTAAGGATAAATTTTCTAGGAAATCCTGAGATTCTTATATCTTTTCTGCATAAATTTCAGGTATCCACCTTTCATTGCTCAGTCAAATAGGCAGAAGCAACAGATGATAATCGCTGTATGTCAATCCTGTTTTGGGTGTGTGGGTGTGTGTGTGTGTGTGAGAGGTTTTTTCACTCAGTATTCGATTCAACTTGTTCGTCTAATTCCTAGAGTAAATGCTTTATGAGCAGGGAGAGTTTAGCTTTCATGAGAAGACTTGGAAGAACATTTCTTCTTCAGCAAAGCAACTGATTTCAAGTCTCCTGACAGTTGACCCTCACAGGAGACCTAGTGCTCAAGATGTACGGTAGAATTGCTACCAAATTTACTAAATTCATAATGCATCTAGGCTAAAGATAGGGCAATTGAGTAATTGACTAAACTGTTTCTTCTATAGGTGGACTCTGGAAATGGTTTTAGAATAAACATGCCCTAATAAAGTGCCATGTTCATGAGCTCCAACTAGTATGTTCAAGGATGCATATTCACCACTTTAACGAGTTAATCCTAGGGTTGTTTCAGCTCGGAACTCATTTACAGAATGTTCATATAAAATTTAACACGAACCGAATTCTTACACGATTGATCCTTCACTATTCATATTCATGAACAACTCAGTTCACTTGAGAACTCTATATGCATTATAATAAATTGACAACAGTTTCACTATTTGTCTTGTCAACTTCTTGATCCAAGATTTTTTATTTCCTGATCAAAATAAGAAAGCAAAATCCCGGACTTCCTACACCACGTGCAAGCATGATTCAAACTGCTAATCCCCTTGAGTCTAATATTTTTCACATCTTTAAACAGGTTCTTAATCATCCATGGGTCATAGGAGACTCAGCCAAAGAAGAACAAATGGATCCAGAAATTGTTCGACGACTCCAGGGTTTCAATGCACGGCGTAAGCTACGTGCTGCTGCAATAGCAAGCGTAGTGAGTAGCACCTTTTTCTTGAGAACAAAGAAACTAAGAACCTTAGTAGGATCCTACGACCTTAAGCCAGAGGAACTCAAGGATCTCAACATACATTTCAAGAAAATGTAAGTAATAGCCAGTCCTAGTCTCTACTTCTGCAAATGTCACAATAGCCATTAAAGATAGCGTTACCGTTATACATTTATCATCACTAAATTACTGTTATACATCTACCATCTTCATATATTGTAACACTACAGGGATTGCCTGAACTTCAGATATTTTGGTCAGACAGGCTCAAGCCCAGTGAGCTTGAACTCATTACTTTCTGCATGAAATAATTTAGAAGAGAGAGTGACTTTTGAGTTCAAATGATCCATACCCGACATGTCCCTCATGCTTGCATGTACTAACCAGCTTTGTCATATCACCAGTTCATAAGATTTTGATGGAGAGAGCTTTGCTGACTAAGTGCAGATGTGTGAAAGGCGACAATGCCACTCAAACTGAATTTGAAGAGGTGCTGAAAGCAATGAACATGTCATCTCTAGTCCCCCTAGCACCTCGCATCTTCGATCTGTTTGACGACAACCGTGATGGGACAGTCGACATGAGAGAGATACTCTGCGGGTTCTCCACCCTCAAGAATTCGCAAGGAGATGATGCCCTCCGTCTCTGCTTCCAGGTGCAGTCTCCCTCTTGTTGTCAGTGACCACACATAGACACACACCTTCTTACTTCTTATGCCTTAGCAGTCATATAAGCTATCCTGCATGCAACCTGAGGTGATGCATTCTAACAGCTGTGAGCTAAGGACCCTAAAGTTGTTCAGCAAGAGCTGTTAGCTAAGGACCCTAAAGTTGTTCAGCAAGATCAAGTGTTTAACACAAAATAACTTAATGTACTCCTTTGATTGCTGAAGGGTCTCTGTTCCTTCGATAATCAAAGCTAAACCTCTATAAAACCCTGAAAATAAAATAAGCGCCATGAAATACTAATTACTCTTTTTTGTTTGGTCATCAGATGTATGACACAGACAGGTCAGGATGCATCAGCAAGGAAGAAGTAGCATCCATGCTTAGAGTAATTTCTCTACCCTTTCCTCCAAGAAAGACATTTCACTTGATTAAGTTTTCCAATTCTTCCTGATACAGAACCCATTACTTCAACTTGCAGGCCTTGCCCGAGGACTGCCTTCCGGTAGATATCACAGAACCAGGAAAATTAGATGAGATATTTGATCTAATGGATGCCAACAGTGATGGGAAAGTAACATTCGATGAGTTCAAAGCTGCCATGCAGAGAGACAGCTCTCTGAAAGATGTAGTCCTCTCATCTCTTCGCCCAATTTAGTTCTTTTGCAATTCCGTCCACGCAAATGTCTGTTGAGTTCAGCTCTAATCATATGTTGACTTCTTGGAACTTCCTTTGAACATTACAAAATGTAGATCTTTCTGACCAGATTAGAAGGAATAAACTTTTCTCCAATGTTGGAGGCTAAAAGCAGATCAATTATTCCAGCAAACTAAACAAAAAAGAACCTGATCTGGGACATACCATTGGGGTAAACAATAGTTATTTTATAGATTAATAATAATACTTCATTAGAGTTTTTGTAAGACATTTACTCTATCAGTATTGTTGTTTTAATATATATCCATACTACCATAATTACTAGTGCTTCTATATAATCGCTTTCTAATATTAACTCCAACCGAATCTTTATTATGATTTTAAGTGCTTCACCTGTTTCTGATAATGCCTATAATAAGATTGAATGGCTCGGATAAATGATGATTCAGGTTTTAACCAATACAAATTTAATGGGCCAGATAGAACACTTCTAATAATATAAGAATAAATACTTAATTTCTGTGGAATTTAAATTTTAATAAAGAGGAGGTAAATGACTGCAAAGATGAAGTCACTGCAAATAAAAAGTTTGATGAATGTGATATTTAGGATCCAATCAGGTGTCTTGTAATACTCGAAATTTTTCCTCAATGTTGAATGTGACCAAGTCGGACGGATCTAGGAATTTATATTTGTGGGGGGGTGGGGGGGGGGGGGGGGGGGGGGGGGGGGGTTTATAATTTCAGTGGGGACAATTTCAAAATTTTATGAGTATAAATGCAAAAAAGTATAAATTTAGGGGAATAAAATGAAATAATAAAGAATTTCAGTGGGGGCGGATGCCCCCACTGAGCCCTTCACAGATCCATGCTTGGACCAAGTTGTTCCTCAAAAATATCAAAGAAGTAGAATTGTTCAAGGTTTTTTTCTGCCCTAATAGGGTCCAAAGATATCCTCTGTGGTGCCTAAACTAGATATAGATAAACTTCCAAAAGAAGAAACATTAGACCTTTATTTTAACTTGAGTCCCGGTTGATATGTTAATATAGATCCTTAAATGAATATTAGAACGTCAATCCAAATCCAATCCAAATCGGATTTTATAAACAAAATCCATGTCTAGCTCATAGCAATCCAGATCTGACCAATCTAAAATGAAATTCAACTCATTTCATACTTCCATTAGAGACTGATTTATTAGAAGAAAAATCCAAATTACTAAAAGATCTTATCCTGAGCTTCGTATTTTCAAAACCTAGCAATGATAAAGATATTTCGCTAAAGGCCTTTTGAAATTTTAATTAATAGTAAAATGGATACTAACACCCAATTGTGCATTTTTTATACCCAAATTTGATGTGGATCTTCTATAGAAAGCTATATCTTTTTTCTAGCAGGAATTTAATATTACAATTCAAATTTCATGAACTGTGATATCGGTTCTTGGAACAAAACCCGATTCATTTCGTGTCCTGGATATAGACAACCACCGGAAAGTATTAGTTAACCTAGCCAATGGAAGATACTGGATAAGTTTAACTTACCATCCTGTGTAACCCAAACATTGGAGGAGAATAAATAAATAAATAGACAAACAAACTAATGACCATTTCAAACATGCTGCCAAGACTGAAACTTTACCACCTTAATACAATGTCCAATTGAAAAGCATACCAACTCAACTCAACAAAGTCTTTTCCCAACTAATTGGGTTCGGCTCCACGAATCGTACTTTTTTATTCTGCTCTATCAAGGCCAACCAAAGCCTCAGTCAAAAAAAATAAAAAACCAAAATAACAAAATAACAAAAACAAAAAAAGACATAAATCAACTGATTTCAAGTATCAAATTGGTTTGACAACTCAAGCCATTTAATTCTCACAGGGAATGTGTTGCAAAACATAAACAGAACAAGTATATAATAAATACAGATCAAGTGGCAACAAATTAGACCCTTGTGCTCTAGATGCTTTTGTAGGAAGCAACAAAATTGTATATTTAAAATCTATTTATCAAATAATATATTTCACTAAAGGGGGCCAAAACACACTAAATATTAGTAACTTGAAGCTCATTAAAATTGTCAAGTACCAACAACTTCTGGATTAATTCAGGATACGGGAACAGTAGGAGAGCATATCAGTAACAGTGAAAATTAAAGGAAACGAAGACCAAAAGCAAGAATTTCCAGTTCAAATTCAAGCTTCACCCAATTGCTAAAATAATCACCAAAATTGGCAAAGTCATATATGTACAATTTCATTTCCCTTTTACAATGCAACCACAAAACCAGAAGACGACTTCTAATTGAACCAAGAGGTTCGTATCTGAGATCAAGTAACTTGTGTAATCATAATCAATTAAAGAAAATCTACATCATCCCTAAGATCAAATACAAATATCCGCAACTCTCCTTGGACAAATAAAACCCAACCATTTGCCTAGGCTGAAATAAAGATATTGATGATGCTCCTTGGATAAATTTCTCAGTTTTTAAGACTTACATGTACAAACTACAGACAAGTTTCCACCACATGTTTACATGGAAGGACAGGTCACCTATCTAGAGACAAAACTAGAAACAGTAATGACAATTACTAACTACAACTAAACCAAATTGTGACAATGGATCATCAACATGGTACACTAGTGACAGATTAAGATGCACACTCACCTTCAGTGATCTGTGCCTACAGCTCATCCAGTTGAGACAGCTCTGATTTGGGTGTTTCCCTGCTACAAATTAAAATTTTCCACGTGGGAGCTTTTGCGTAGAATTTTCCATCAGGACATGTATTCTGTGCTAAACAAACATTAGAAATTACATCAATACAATTACATAATAATCATTCAAAGACAAAAGTATTCACATACAACATAATGAAAATTGTGAAATGCATACTTCTAAAGCTCAGGCATAATTTGATTGGTCATGTTTATTTCGGCCAGCAACTCGCACTTGCCAGATTTGACCCTAAAAGTCTTAAGTAAAGATCTAAGAAGCAAGGACACACCTAAAAGTCTTAAGTATCCATATCGAACACGTGTCAGACAGGCCAAAAAATGCCTCTGAAATATTTTTATTTATTGAAATAAATGGACAAGCCAAGGAAATGTCAATGACATGTAGCAAACAATCCAATTAAAAGGGACTTTTTAGACAGTTTTTTTTAGGGGGGGGGGGAGATTACAGCATATATTATGTGAAATTTTTAAAAAGCTTGTGATAGTCGAAACATAAAAAATAGGATTTTTTTTTTTATTTTTTATTTTAAGAATCTATCAAGCAATTTTACTCACCTAAATTTTAATGCTTGCTACTTGTTTAAAATTGTAAAAGATCAAAAAGAGAAAACAGAAGAGTCAATCTCTTTTGCAATTAACCATTGAATTTGGTACGAGGAATCATCAAAACTTAATTGCCACCAAGCCGCCTTCTTCTTCAACAAATCCTCTTTCTCTATCTTAATTTTACTCCCTCTTTTTTTTTTTTTTCCAGCCACAAACCCCTTTCTTTCTCTACAGATTCTCTCTTTCACTGTTGTTAACAACCATCTACTCTAAAAGCTTAAGCTTTTGGGTCGGATGGAAAGCGCCCAGCTGCCCTGGCCTAGTACGGGAGCCGGACAATCTAACTTGTAAGAGAGAAAGAATGTAACTTATTAGGGTGGGTAGGCAGCACCACCTAATACCTTAAGCTTTAAGAGTAGATAGTGGTTAACAACTATCAACAAGACCTATTTCTTTCTCAACAATACACTATCTCCCTAGTTCTTTATTTTTTCTTTCTTTAACTGATTCTCTCCCTAGTGACAGGGCCCTCTTTCTTTCTTTATACAACTGCAATCTTCTGTTTAATTTTGTGTTAACAAATTATAAAGGGAATTTAGCTGGTTTACTCCCTCTCTCTCTCTCTCTTCCCCCTCTTAACGGAGAGAATTACCAAGGTAGGCCATATGTTATTTGTGGGTTTTTGATTCATAGATTAATGTTATAATATATTATAGTATATCTAAAAATATATATTTAGTGTTCGTCACTTCCTCCCTCCAGTGTTTGTGTCCATTTTATAGGATTGCCTTGTCAACATACCATATTTTGACTTATCTGTGTCCCATATACGCATTTTTTGTGCCGTATATGTGTCCTATGCTTCTTAGATAAATATAAAGAAAATGCAATATAAAGAAATATTTTTCATTTGTTATGTTACCAGCAAAAGTCAACAGAAAGAAAGCGCTGGCCATGTCCCTATTCTTTTCCTTTACGCTCAACTGTTTGGAGAATTTTTACTTTCATATCTCATTAATCATGAGAGAGAAAATGGGGAGATCCACTTTTCTTCCTCTAGATCCCCTGAATTTCAATTGGACTCAAGAATCATTTAAGTGTAAATTATATTCCTAGCACATATCACAATCAAAGTTTATAACTCCGATACTTATCAAAAAAAAAAAAAAGTTTATAACTCCGACAAACATGAACGTGTGCCTTGCAGGAGCTCAATTTTAAGCTCTGAAAGCTGGCATAATCTAGACATTGGAAGTAAGCGCAAATTTGAGAGGGCCAGGAAAAACTCTGTCAAAATTGAATTCCAGGGTTAAGCATCATTTCAGAGACCTAAATGTTATATAAGGTCAGCCCAGCAGAGTGCCACCCACATGTGGACTATCTATATGAAATCTCATGCATCTTTAACGCATAAAATAAAGACCATAAATGTCCAAGGTAAGATGGTATTAGGTATTCCTAAATTACTTTATTGCCCTGACAACAGGTGCATAAGGTCGTACACACACATGCCTTTCAATTTCCAGACATAACACCCCACTAACACACCATTTGGTTCTTTATTAGCAGAAGAAGATGAAATAAAGACGAGAAAAGGAAATATATATATATATAATAATAATAATAATAAAGGAGCTTTAAAAAAAATCATCAGTTTCTACATAGACAAGATTGTTCCATTTTTGTATAAGGGACGCGTTCCCCTTTTGAACGCCTTTTTTATGTTATTATTACTTATCAAAAAAAAAAATCATAGACAAGATTACAAATAACAATAATGGCCATTGTAACGGTAACAGTCAGCTGGTGCAGAATGTGGTGCAACAGGAGTAACATAATGCACATGGTTACCAGAGCTGTGAATTTTTTCCCCATCATACAACTCCAAAATGTGATAAACACATTTAAATCCTAAATTCTTATAAATTTAGAATTTAGAGATATTATTTTATTTATTGCATGATTAATTTGTACTGATTTTAAGCCATTATATGAAAGAAGCTTAACTAATTTTCACTTTACTTTTTATTACTTCTATGACCAAAAGTACACTCAAGTTTTTTGGAAAGAAAAAAATATAAAAGTTATACTACTCGAACTTAACTTATGAGTTTTTTTACCATGAAAAATGGAAAGAATTCAAATAAACATGAGTAGGTTCCATTTTAGAATCTCATAATGATCCAATATTATATAGTATATGCTACAATAAAAAAGGGAATATTACCCCATGTTGATCGCCTGCATATGTTGTTGGAAGAGAAGACCTAGAGACAGACTAAACACTAACTGATTGCACCTAGACTCAAAACCCCCATCATCACACTGATCAACCCAAGCTTTTATCAATACACCAAGAAACATCAGCTAAAGCTTTACCATTGCACCAATATATTTACATGAGTAATTTTTTTAATTTTACATACACATGCTCCAAAATAAATTCAGATTCGTGAAAAGCACATGACACACTAGGTTGTGGAAGCAATCCTAACCAGAAATTCTCAAATTACCGAGTTACATCTACAAGATTACATCTCATTTTTTTTTGTATATACTTTCCTCTCCAATTCACAACATTAAACCTCCCAATACCCTGCACTAATGAGTTTTGCCATGGAGGATTGCCCCTCCAACCACCTCCAACAAATGTCGGTCTCCATCTTCTCTCCTAACCATTGGTTGTAAAAGTGCAAACAAGATCTACACACAATCTTTAAAAATTTGGCATCAAACAAAAAATTTAAGTAAGATTAAACCAGAATAAATTCAAATATATATATATAGGACTTTCAATTGAATAAATTGTTCCAAGTTCTTAATTAACCCGAGGTCTAAGCCTAGATCTTTTGTTTGTATATAACTTCCTCTCCCTATAAATTAACAAACTAAACCTCACAATACCCTCCACTAATGAGTTTCACCCCGTTACATGGACTTGGGTACATGTGTCCGGTACAGGTATGTATCCATGCAGTGAACATATCAAATCTCTAAACAGAAGAACACACGGATACTGCTAAATATTCATTTTATTTAATTAGTTTATTTTATTTTCTACAGTAAAGTAATGTTTTATCTAATATAGTGTTCAATATAGGCTTTTAACCCATTATAAAGTAATAATACAATATAATTTAATGATTGGATATGTTTTTTAAGTACATGTCCAACCAAACGTGTTGGACACATATCCCATACCCATATCCAAGCCATATGCGTACTTCACCACTTTTAAAGAATCCATGTAACATAGGTTTTGCACAGAGGATTCCCACTCCAACCACCTTCAACAAATGTCAATCTCCATTTTCTCTCCCAACTATTGGTTGTAAAAGCTAGAACAAGATCTGTACACAATATTTAAAAATTTGGCATCAAACAGAAAATCTAATTAAGATTTAACCAGAACGAATTGAAAAACTTAAAAAAAAAAAATTTAGAACTTTCTGATTATTCAGTTGCTCCAAGTTCTTAACCCGTGGTCTAAAGACTAGATCTTTTGTATTATAACTCTTGAAAACTATATCTAGTAGGATGTCGTGTTTTGGCAGGTTTGGAAATTGAAATTTTGAGGAATAAATAAATAAATATTTGAAAGAAGTCATAGAAGTGAAGCCTATAAACCTCACTTGTTGAAACTGTTGCTACGTTGATGCAATGTCAGCTTATGTTTGGACTATTTAAAACTCAACTCTTGCTTGTTCATTTTTTTTTTTTTTGGTAAGTATCAACTCTTGCTTGTTCATTAAGCAAAATGAGTAGTTCTTAACTCATTTTCGGCTCTAACTCATATAGGCTTTTTGAAAACCAATTCAATAGTTCATGAAATCTTACTCATAGCGACTTGTATAAGCTCATGCTCTTGAACACGTCTTTTATTTTTTTTTTAATTTTGAAAAGTTTTGTCACGACCCACCCCAGCAAGGAGAAGTTGCTAGCACTTACATGTGTGGATATCTCCTAACTGTGTAAACGCATTTTAAAAACCATGAGCACGGAGAGTGCAAAGTGGATAATATCTACATAGCCAGGCGGGTCGTCACAAATGATATCAAAGCCAATCCCAAGCCAAAAATGGGGGGAGCGTACACAAGCCCATGAGGGTCACACCAGCGAAGAAGTTAGGTCCCAAGAGGAGGTGATTGTGACATCCCACATTGCCTAGAGGGAGAAATAACTGGCACTGATATGTATGGATGCCTCCTAACTGTGTAAACGAGTTCTGAAAACTATGAGCACAGAGAGTGTCTATAGCAGACAATATCTAAGTAGTAGTCGATTGTGGCGTGATTCAGTGCTCAAGTTGAGTACCGTGCAATGGCTCAAACTTCATGTGAATTAACTTGGTTGAGAACTTTGTTACAAGAATTTGGGTTTTCAGTTCAAGACCCATCTCTCCTCTATTGTAATAATCAGGCGGCTATTCACATTGCTAGAAACCCAGTTTTCCATGAGCAAACCAACCATATTGAGGTCGATTGTCATATTCGTTCTAAGATGACCTCCAAAGAAATTGTAACTTTGTTCGTATCGTCTGCTAATTAGCTAGCACGTATCTTTACTAAGGCCCTTCAAAAGTATGCCATTGATTATATCTGCAACAAGCTGGGAGTCGTTGACATCTATTCTCTAGTTTAAGGGGGGTGTCATGAATACAACTCATAGTCAACTATTCCTTAATTAGGAGCTTGATTAGCTATTCCTTAATTAGGGACATAATCACATGATTTATTTACCTAGACATACAATATAACTAGATAGTAGATACATCCCTTGCACTACACTCACTTACCACCTTCCTTATTGCATTGTAATCATCCTTTGCAATATGAAATATATAGACAGTTCTTCTCTATCTATAAGATTTACCTTACACTTTTGACACTATTCTTACGATTTACATGAGTTTATGGTGACTATTTACATTAATTGCATCTAGTACTTGATTATGATTTTTCATGATAATATAATATATGTTTAAATTCTACAAGATTTATACAGTCGCACATTTTTTATGATATTTGATATTTTTTTTTTTTTGACTTATATGCATGTCAAAAGAATTTATGTGCATTTCACTTGATCCATTAAGTTCATGTTGTCAAAAATTCCATTTAAAGAAGAAAAAAAATATTTTGATTAGTTGTGTTTTTTCCCTTCAACTGTTTTAGATACATTCACTTAATTGAATTCATATGCAAATTGAAAAGAAATATGTACATTCATTTAGCTAATACTTTAAATTTATATGCTGAAAAAATTCCTTTGTTTTCATTTTGAGTAGTTTGAACTGCATATTTTAATTTGTTTTCCTATACTAATATTTAATTTAATATTCATTTTGATTACACATGTGCCTTACTTCCATCAGGCTCACATTCTTGCTCTTAGGATCCAGGAGATTGTTGCCTTAGTGCGCCTTGAGCCTTTAACAACCATGCTAGGAGGATTGGCTTACTACTTTACCGGAATATACAGTTTGTGATGTTAAAAAAAACAATTTCAAGTGTTAGGAGTAGGGTATAAGAGCTATTGTATTAAATTGAATTTGTTGGCAAGAAAGATGCGTTGATTTTAGCATATTTTGATCCATTGTCTTGATTATTATTTTTAATTTGCACAAAGTAAATAATGATGGAATTGTCTGAATCCAGCATTTATATTATTTCCCTGAGATTCAAAATGTATCTAAATTTCAACCTCACGTGCCTCTGCATTTATTAGTTACTTAAATTAGCACTGTGGTCCACTCCAGAAAGCACCTTACATGGTGCTCAGCGTGACTGGCAACACAGGATCCTAGTGCAATGAGAGCACCTTTTATTTCAACAATGCTGGCACCATGAATGGCAACTAGCCCAAACCAGGTATGTTGATACCTTTTCTCCAGAAAAAATGTGACAGCATTAATCATTTGCAGTTCAGTTATTTGCAGTAAACTAAAAAACTGCACTTCCGATACACGGGAGAGTAGAATTAATGTCTCAGTACTGCCTTGAATCATGGTGGCATTAGAGAAAACAAAATGGTATATGAAGTGAATGCTTACAGAATTTCAGAGTTGTTCCCGAATGTAGGCCATTGATCTCAACATGGACCCCAGTGTATCTCTTGAAACTTGAAACTTCACCTCCGTTTCTCCAGTAGTTGTCTTAGTGTCTTGGAGCTGAGAAGCACAAGGGAAAACACAGTAAATTTGCAAAGGACTACAAACTGCTACACTATATACAAGACAATGAACAAAATAAAACAACAGTAAATCCAGTCAGGAACTATCTTTTAGCATGGTTTCTGACAAAGCTGAAGGGGAATACCAGAGCCACACACTTGAGTATTAAATCATTTGAGGTTCACGCAGGTATAAAGCATATTATCTCTTGGAAATCTAAGTTCACAACGCCGGGGGGGGGGGGGGGGGGGGGGGGGGGGGTGGTGGTGGGGACGGCCGGGTTGGGGTTGTTGGGTTACTTGAATAATAACAATCATTCTAACAACAATATTTATTTCACCTAAAGAACTCCAGGCTCCAATAAGGTTGACTCTTTCACATAAAACATTTATTCTAGTTGGCAGCTGTTAAACAAAGTTCACTTTTAGAAATATACAACTAACATTGGAAGTTGAACATTAGAAACACTCATGCCATCTAACAAGGTTCATCAAAATCATATCATATGGGATTTCTGGTAAGGCAAATCTAGTTGCAAAGGTCTCTGTTTTGTGAAAAGAAATAATTATTCTTCCTCATTTTGGAATTATATCAACTAGTAGTGGGCAAATTACATTTCTCACACACACATTGGAAGTTGAACATTAGAAACAATAATGCCATCTAACAAGGTTCATCAAAATCATATCATATTGGATTTCTGGTATGGCAAATCTAGTTGAAAAGATCTCTGTTTTGTGAAAAGAAATAATTATTCCTCCTCATTTTGGAATTATATCAACTAGTAGTGGGCAAATTACATTTCTCACACACACATTGGAAATAAAACAAGGTAACCTCAAAATTCCATTGCATAAAAACGAATCATAATGATTACCAGCCCATACTTGGAGATGATTAATTTCTTAATATTGCAGCATTATTCTAAAATGGTCTCACCTGATCATGAATTTTGTAAAAGCAACACATACCATGAGGATTCTAAATATTAGTGCATCTATAATATCTCATCAAATTAATTGAAATGATGGTGTGAAAAACTCCATGGAGATAACCCCACAAAATCATATTCCTGCTATAATCTCAAAGTATTTGAAGGGCCTTGATTTTACACATTCTATCATCTCTTGACATTTAGTACATTGATCAGGTCATCCTGAGTTCATGTTTCAAGAGAGGACTAACTCTGGAGAGGATAACCAAATATAGAGTGCATGAAATGGAAAAGGCTACTTGAACGCTTAAGAGAACTTCAACATCTACAATTTTATATGCCCTGGTACCACTTGAAAGGGGGGATTGTAACCCTGGCTATAATACGTACGCGAAGTCCAAAATTCAAATATGAAGGGGGTAAATAGTTCTAAAACTCTTTTAACGTGATTTTAGGATTTTAATTTGATTAAAACAATTTTTTAACACTAAATCGCGTCAATGAATTCATTATCAATTATCATGCCTATAGGGATCATCAATCAATCAAATAATTCAAACCACAACGCAATAAATCAAAATAAAATAGACATTGGAATTTATGTAGAAAACCCAACAAAAGGGGGAAACCATGGAATAATTGGACTCGTGCATAATTCTATGCCTCGAACATTGTTGACAATCAATGAACTCGTCCTCCAACAAAGTTCACTCTTCTTGGGTTGTCCATCTGTTCCTCTTCTCTTTAAAATACTCGGTTGATTAACAATCAATGGTTGAGAATCTTCAATTAAACTCAATATTTAAATTCGCTCAAACACATGAAGAGATGGTGATTTATTTAAAACCCTGTATTGGTTATCAATATATTCTCACGTATGATTATTCTACTCTCTCTGTTTCTTCTATCCTAGATCGACCATATGTATGTATTTTTAGGCATTTTAAGAGTCCTCAAAGAAAAATGATATATATATATAAATATATAAATATATATATATATATATATATATATTTACCAACAAAAAATTCTAATGCCGACTTTAACCACAAAAAATAAAATAAATAATTAGTGTCGACTATCAATTGATCCTAAGTCCAAGTTTGATCAATCCAAGTTAGTCCAAAGACCATCAATCACCATGTCAACTCAAATTAATGACCAGTGTATTCTTTTAAATATTGCAAATTCCAAGTTAGATGTCAGTTGATCCAGAACAAGGTTCTCTATCAAAGTAAATTTCTATTTGCCAAGGAGAAGACGTGGGTTCGATTCCCGCTATCCGCCCAGGGTGAAGTAATTTATTTAATATGATAAAGGATTCAGTCCAATGTCCAACGATCAATGGATATCAATCAAAATTCCCTGCCTTTGAGTACTTTAATATTTTCTATAAAAGTGTAAATTAGCACCTTCAACATTGATCCATGGTGCAATCCATCGTTTATGGAGAACTCACTAGTTTCACCACAAGGATACTTTATAAAAAGTATCCAAGATATGTATATGAACACAAAAACAAAAGTTCCTACCACGTGTGGTGAAACTAGTGAGTTTTTTATAAACGTAGGATTGCACAAGCCCATATCTATTTGCAATAATCTTAGATGAAATAACAAACGACTTCTAAAACAAGATCCCATGGCGCATAATGTTTGCTGATGATATAGTGTTCCTAGATACCTCTAAAAAGAATATAGCAACAAAATTAGAAATGTGGAATATGTTGGAAACTAGTTTTGAAACTTGTATGTTCGAGTGTGCCCAAGCAAACTTTGGGCTAAAATTAAAGTGGTCCCATTATGATTTTTAAGTGGGCCCAAAGTGGAGCGCATTCCTCTCCGAGAGTAGACAAGCATAGTAAATTTACTTTTTCTAGTTTTGAAACTTGAATGTTCAAGCGTGTTTAAGCAAACTTTGGGGGCTAAAATTAAGTGGGTCCCACTATATTTTTAAGTGGGTCCAAAGTGAAGCGCGTTCCTCTCCGAGAGTAGATGAGCATAGTAAATTTACTTTTTCAAAATTGTTTTCCGGGTGAATGAGATATTGAATCCAAAGTGAGGTGTTTGATAAGCATTTGAATGGGTGAAAATGGGTTTGTGGGAAAACATTGTCCCACATTGGAAGATGGTGAACTTTGTGAGTATATATACTCTAAGTAGCAAACTTTGGGATTGAGTCCTTGGGGCATCCAAGTTTTTAAGAGGGGGAGGATCTAGCCAAGCTTGGGTCCAAACCCGCCACCACACACGCGCACGCCGCATGTGCGCACCGCCTGGCCTGGCCAGGCTCAGCTCGGCCAGTCCAGGCTTGGGCTGTCAAAAAGATTATTCTTTTAAAAAAATAAAATAATGATATCATGTTGGACCTGGGGCCTGGGCTAATTGGGCTCAAGTATGTTTGAGTTTATTTGGATTTGGGTTAGTCCAGATTCAATTAATCTTCCAGAATCCAGAAACCCAACTCGACTATAGTCTAGGTTGATGTAAATCCAAATAGGTGCAAGCAGTTTTGAACCAAATAGGTGCACCCATTGTCTGATTGAGTCGAACGAATGTGTCCACTGTCTGTTGGGCTTAAAGGATGCAATTGGTACCGGTTTGGATGAAAGGTTGCACCTGTTGTCGGTTCGGGCTGACCTGACCAGACGCCATGTGCCATAAATACACATGGGATGCTATTTGCAAAATCCATCCTCCAGAATTTAACTTGAACCCAAGTCCAGTGGATTCGAGCCATACGGTCATGGGTTGGGTCTAAGCCTAATGGTTCAGATTGAGTCCAAATCATCATATTAGTAATATAATTACATTTCTTTGTTCGAATCAAGTCAGAGAGAGTATTACACAGTGTTTGGTTCGTCAATTCAATTGGTTCGAAGTGCTGCCACCAATTGAAGAAAGATCGTTGTATCCTAGGATACAAGTGCCATTAAGACTATAGAGCACCAGGTGGGGCGTAAATTGTCTTGAGGAGATAGAATTAAATTCTAGCCTCGATCTACAAGGTTCTTTATACTTGTTTTAATGTTACTTAATTTGGTATGTTTAGTATATTGCCTACTAATAAAATGCTTGTTAATCTTAAATGGTGATATATGAAGCATATATTTTCCAACAGAGAAATAATTTAGAATCAAAAGGATCAAGGATAATTAGTTGAACTAAAACCAAGTACTTGGATTGTAAATTAAATAAAGATTCAGACATTGATAGTATAATGATAACACTTCAAAACCAAAAGATTACTCAACACAATCACTTTCACCATCAAGGTACGATAATACAAGAGGATTGAGAGATAGATGGTGATATAATTAGTAGAATTGGAGCAGGTTGGACCAAATGGAGACAAGCTAGTGGGATTTTATGAGAGAGAATAATAACACATAAGCTAAAAGGAAAATTCTATAGGACCGTTATTAGACCAACTATGTCGTATGGAGCGGAATGTTGGGTCCTAAAAGAGAAACAAGAACAATGCCTTCATGTAGCAGAAATGAGAATGTTAAGATGGATGAGTGGAGTGACTAGAAGAGATTGGGTCACTTATGAAAGTGAGAGAAAAATTAGGAGTGGCACCCATTGGTGAGAAAATTAGAGAGAGTAGACTTAGGTATTTTGGCCACGTAAGTATATACACCGGAGACCTGGAGACGTGCCAGTCAGATGAGGTAGGCAAATTGTCATAGAAGGTAAAAGACGGAGTGGACAACCTAAGATAATATGGGATGAGATAATTAAAAAAGACTTTAAAAAGTTAAATATAGTGGGTTAGATGGCATGTAATAGAAAAGATTGGAGACAAAGAATTCATGGGGTCGATCCCATTCATATGGGATCAAGGCAAGGATAGTGATGAACATTCAAAGTAACTTGGTCATGGGTAGTCCAATCTATCTAGTAAACTAACAACCCTAGATTTGTAGGTTCACTAGGTCTTTTACTTGCCTTTTCCTAACATGTAATTGAGATTTGATGAATCATCCACGCAATCTCCATTATAGCTCTATCTGCATGCTTAACTCATCACCTTCACCTTCAATTTGTACGTCCTCTGGTAAACTAACAAACCTAGATTTCTACGTTAGCTAGGTCTTTTACTTAACTTTTCCTAACATGTAATTGAGATTTAATGAATCATCCACGCAATCTCCATTATAGCTCTATTTGCATGCTTAACTCATCACCTCCACCTTCAATTGTATGTCCTCTATAAGACAACAAAGACATAGTACCCGCAGAATTTGCTACTAAAAGACTCAATTTCCTACCAGATGGACTGTAGGAGTTAGGTCAAGGTGTCTACATTGCACTATGAATGTCAGCTGCAAAGCACGGTGGTAATTTATGACCCCAAACAGAATGAATGGCTCAAATTTGATGAAAACCAGTCGCAAACCTTACAGAGTATTGGTTATATTTTCATGAAAATGTAGATGTTGTGATGCGCTCTTGCGTAATTTTATACTAATATGACAACTTTTCGAGCATAAAGACCCTCACGATACAAATATGCACAATTTCAAACAAAAGACATGTGCTTTTATAGCACACAATAGACCCAATTAAGGCTTGAACTGAATTGCAAGTTTATCAATACATGGCGCTTGGTTTCCTTGCAAGTTACAAAACAGATACAAACATAAAAAATTTCATGTGGATGAATACACTTTTATTTTAGGCGTGAAGAAATGTGGCTGTGAACAGTGCACATTTCCTTTTGCACAAATCCACTATATACTTAACATTTCTTTCCAAACCAAATCACAATATGAAAAACAAAGATGATTCAGACTAAAATCATCAATATTATTTAACATTTAGAGATTTGAACAAATTATTCCAAGACTCAATGAAGACTGCAAGAGAATAAAAACATTTTATTGTATACCATGACCACCCCCGCCATAACCCAACCCCCCCCCCCCCCCCCCCCCCTTCTTTTTATTTTTGGGTTTTGTTTTAGGTGAAGAAAAAATGAAATCCAAAACTTAGAGTACGTACCTTCAGATTAATGACAGCCACCCTATTAGCCGGTGACGAGAGCTGCTGACTGATGTAAGACATCGATTTCAACATAGGCTCTAGTGTGACCTTTGTAACTCTAAATTGCACTTCATTTTCTCCTGAAGGAGTCGTGCCATAATCTTGCAACTGCATTGAAGAAAAGAAGAGAGGAGTGAAGATGGCATAACAAGAATAATCCTAATCAACTTCCACAAGATCACTAACATCTTATGGTACCCTATCTATTCTTAACTGCATTTCATGCATAATCAACAAGTAATTGCCCAGAAGGCTTTTACAGATGGCATGAGATAGTCAATAATTTTTATCATGAGGCGAATCACCTCGGAACAGGATGATTCACCATCTTTCAATTATTTAATCATTGTAGTATCATATTAAAGCATCATTCAGTAGTAAATAGAACTGCATCTTATTACACAGAAGAAATGATAGCAGTAGGACAAGTAAGTGATCTAAACTATCACAAACACAAAATGTAAGTTTCAGAAATAATGCATACCTTCAGGTTAATGACAGCTACTTTACAGGTTGGCGTTGAACTCTTACTTTCTATGACCCAAGTCATGGACTTAAAACAAGTGAGAACCACCTAAATAAATTAATTATAGTCATAAGAAGCAATCACCGGTATTCATAATTTTCTTTGTACATTCAGGCAAAAAGAGAATTATATAGATTCAATGTATGATATAACAAACCACAAAATGGCTTGTCTCGGGCTCCATACCGTGCCATCTGTAGGGGTGCCATCACGGTTAATAGACACAGGAGCCATGCTAGGCTGATTCAAATCAGCAACTGGAACTCCAATGTCATTAAGATTAAAGCGATGTGGCATTGCCTCATGCCAGGGCCACAATGGTGTATTCATATCAGAACTTGAAATAGGGATCTTCTTGTTACTGTCTTCCTGAGTGTTTCCACTACCCTGAGAAGTAGGAGGCATAACTTTAGCTACATTTTTCTTTACAACAGCAATTTTGTTTGCTCCTTCTCTTAAAGCATTCATCGCTGCATTATAGGTTTCTGCAGCAATTGACCCTTCCTCAGCATATTTAATGGCTTCTCGACATAGGTTGTTGAAGCGTAAGGTAAGAGACTCAATGCCTTGTGGATCTGCATCTTGGTCATCTGATCCGAGACCAACTCTAGCATTCCGTGTCCATCTCTTCAATATGTAATGGGATGGAAGGGTGAGAACATTTGTTACGGTGAAGACAGTCAATATGTGTCTACAGAGAATGCCCGAGTACTCAAACATGTGACAGCTGCAATTTGCTTTGAACTCGGAAACATTCAATATGACTATGTATGCCTTGTGATCATGTTCATATTTTGCAACCCTGAATTTGCTGACCACCCCGTCACCATCAATCTTATTTGCAGTATATACAAAAGTTTCAACTAATTCCTCCTGAAACTTAGCAAAAACTTTTTTCGTGTAAAGGTTTGCCGCCTGTTGTTCCATTGGCGATGGTGTCTTAAGTACTGGGGTGGTGCAAATTGTATCATAATCTGCTTCTATTTCCCTTTCCAACGAATTTTCTAGAGCCCTTTCATACTGCTTAAAGAACAATGGTATGGTGGTCTGCTGATTCACATATCCATCAAAGAAGGAACTAACTCCTTGGTTTGATGAAAGTGCAGCAAAGAAAGTATCTCGAAAATATACCGGGGCCCATTGCTCGCGTGCATTGTACACAGCTTGAAGCCATTCATTTTTCTGGAGATCAAATCTATCAAGGAGAGAAGCCCATGATGATTCAAAATCCTCAATGGTCTCAGAAAAATTGATGCAGCTATACAACTCTCCATAGAAGGAAGGATGAGCAAGATATATATGAGCCAACCTTTCCTGCCCTTCTCTCAATATATGCCACTTGCAAATGCAGTGGCGAGTTCCTGGAAACACCCGAGTAACTGCTGCCTGAATGGCCCTATCTTGGTCAGTGGTTATAGAAACGGGAGGATGATCATTCATTGCAGATAGCCATGTATTAAATAACCAAGTAAAGGAAGACTCGGACTCATCTAAAAGTAATGCGCAGCCGAACAAGACCATTTGACCATGATGATTTACACCAGTGAAGGGAGCAAATGGAACCTGAAACTGATTCGGTCTGTACATTGTATCAAAAATTACTGCATCGCCAAAGTGACTATAAGCCGTCCTAGCTCTTGCATCAGCCCAGAAAACATTACTCATGCGATTATCATCATCAAGTTGTATGGCATAATAGAAACCAGGGTTTTCAGCCTGCATCTTCTTGAAATAGTTGAGGAGATTCTGAGCATCTCTTCCTAGGGTTCTCTTTCGGCTACAGCTACTGAAGGGTCCATAATTTACAGGCCCAATACTCCTCGCAGGATAATTTGTTTCTACAGGGGAAGCATTCCTAACTCCACGATTAGGATCATAAGATACATGATTTCCATCCATGGAGACAAAGACATCACTTAGGCCGTCATTTGTTTCAGGCATATTCTTTGTAGAAGCAGCAAAATGCCTGCGGGGTCGAAGGTAATGTACCTTGCTGGGACTGACTGTGGAGTGATTATGATCCTCCGCAAATTTTGTGACAACCCAGCTATCAGGATCTTTTCTCTCTATCCTAAGCATAGCGTTGCAACTCTCAAAATTCTTCCTCTTAAAAACCTCTCTGGAACATGAAAATTCCCAATTAACAATCGGCCCATCGGGGGTAGTACGGCTGTACTGACCAACATGGGTGCTAAAACCTACACGCCTGGCATATGCATCATAAAAAGTCTTGGCAGCTTCTTCAGATTCAAACTCCATACCAACTCGTGGTTTTGCACTCCCATCGTCATCCTGACTAAGTATCTCTCTCTCAACTCTCTCAACACTATTAGGTTCAACATTTGCTCCTCCGCAATTTTCCCCAACATCCATTCTTGTTGAGTGAGTAATTATCCACACATGTAGTTTCTAGGCAAACTATAAACAGGTCCTCATGGTTATCCCTAATGAGGCAAAAGCGGAAGAAGGCTGCACCAAGTACCAACCTGTATGAGTGGCAATCTGATAAAGCAAATAAAAGGCAAAAAAAGTTCAAGAGACCATATCAAGGGAGACATAATCAGATACACATACTTAGCATTTTTCTCATTTAAGTTTTACAAAGACGCATAATGCAATTACAGACACACTGTAAAAAATAAAATATAAAATAAAGAGGATAAAGAAGGCATTTATCATCAATCGCAAAAGAATGGGCACCAGAACAAGAGCATCGACTTGTCCATTAGTAAACCTACTATGAAAATGGGTATATGTACAGCATAAATGTAAGTTTTGTTCTGTGTAACTACTAAAATTAACCTTGTAAAGCACCCAAGGAATGTGTGACTTTGAAAACATCCATACTATTTCCACAAATCGCATACAAGCAATGCCAATGAAGATAACTAAATGGCAAAAATTGCCACGTCAGGAAAGCAGAGAAAAATAAGGAATCCTTCGATTCTCTCTGAAATTTTACCACAAAAGTATTAAAAACAAAAAAGAAGGAAAAAGGAACCCTATTCAAAAGGTTTGGGGCATGGCAATATTCAAATCAATGAATTGATAAATGTAGAATATTCTTCTTTCCAGCTTCTTGGTTACTTATCTATGTGTTTGGAAATTCAAACAAAGGAGTTTACAAGCAAAAAAATTATATTCTTTATAAAGAATCCATTCATGCAAATTTTCCCAAAATCAAACTTCAACTATCAAATCCTCGAAATGTTCAAGACCAAAATTATCATAATTGGCTAATTTAATATACATAACTATTTAACATTCAAAAGAAAATATATACTTGAGACTATTTACATTACAATTTCAAAACAAACATGTTCAGACACACCAAGTGAGATAATTCAACCTGAAGATTCATTTTCAGACAGTGCCAACTCTTCAACTGTTATGCGTGCCCCTCAATTCCACTGACACAATAACAACAAACGAACAACACTGTGTTCATTCTCACAAAGTAAACCCTAACACAATCTATTTTTTCTGAAAAATAGAAAAATGAGAATGAGTTCAGAAGCGAAACGTACCTCTCTCATTGTTTGCAGGTAGAGCTTTTTGTGGGATGGTATTGAAACCGAAGTCCTCTCTCTCCTCCCTCCCTTGTTCTCTCTCTTCTCTTTTTTTCTCTCTCTTGATCAGTCTGAGGGAGGGTTTGAGTTGGGGATGGTCCGATTTGGTTCGACCAGTTCAGTCCGAGTACCAACCCAAACCCAGACGCGACTCGTTTCCTGAGTTGAACTTTTGTATTTTTTTTTCGAGTTTTGACATTTTTACCCCCATTGTGTATACTTTTTTCTTTTTACCTTTTTTTTTTTTTTTTTTGGTCTTTGTTTTGACATTTTTACTCCCATTGGGCTGTATAATTTTTTTTTCCTTTTCTTGTTTTTGGCCTACATTGAGTTGTACTTATAAAGGGATGGATTTGGATATTTTTCATGGTACTTTTTGGTACTTTTTGGTCATGTGTAGTTTTCTTCGCTTAAATTAAAAAAGCAAGGACTTTAAACCGATAATATAACAATTATATAAAGGTATCATATTATTGTTTCAAAGATATAATAAAAAATATATGTATATATTTTGTTTTATGTTTTTTTTTGCCAAAAATGGTATAACAACATTACAATACAATATTCACTTCGAATATGGCTCAATAATTTACTCGCTGCACTTAAAAGTTTAACAAGTCCAAGATATAAGGTCGAGTCCGCTGAATGCTCTTTGTGATTGACATCCGTTATCTCACTTATTCGGTCCGGGCAAAAAAAAGTCCTTCTGAGTTCTCAAGAATTAATCGAGCTGTTGAGGGACCCTAACGGTTCGTATCTTCCCGAACATTCCGAGTTAAAAAAAAATAAAAATAAAAACACAAACACAATGTAATATATTATTACAAGTGTTACATTTTTGGTATAAATATATTGAGAACACTTGTTCTACTTGAATTGGACTCTAGGTCACACCACGTGCCTTGGTGGCTTGATGTAATAAGGGTCATTTGTCCCACATCGGAATCGGATGGGAAAGTGATTGGGTATAAATGGGTGGGTATGCAGCACTACCCAATAGTTCGAGCTTTTGGGTAAATGGGCAAGCGCTCACCCGTTACAGTTGGTATCAGAGCCAAACCCAGTCCTTGATCCGGTGCCACGCCAGGCGTCCGGGTGAGTCCACCCGGGTAGGCAGGGTTTAACCGCAACGAGGGCGTTGCGAGTTTGGGTGGGGGAGAATGTAACAAGGGTCATTTGTCCCACATCGGAATCGGATGGGAAAGTGATTGGGTATAAATGGGTGGGTATGCAGCACTACCCAATAGTTCGAGCTTTTAGGTAAATGGACAAGCGCTCACCCGTTACACTTGAAGACCGTAAATGAATTTGTTCAATCCGAGTCAATCCAAACCTTCCATGGCTTGGACTGACAAAAAAAAAAAAAAAAAAATCAAAATTGTGTTTCGTTTTCTTCAGTTTAAAATAAATTATTCTTACTGGTATTAAATAAGACACTAGCCTCAATAACCTTCAAAGACCGCATTCACCAAAATTCTTTCTTACTGATGAAATTCTTCCACAAAAGTTTGTCTAATTAAGGACTTTTGGTATTAGAAATGTGGAATCTTCCTAAAACTGCTTCCTTAATCTGTAACCTCTTGCAAGAAAATAAAAAAATAAAAAAAAAAAAATCTTAACCTCTTCCTGGCCCCACCATCAACGAGATTGCGATTCATTTAAAGGCCTAGGACTTATAGCTCAACCCACTCAACCCAAACACAATGTTGTTTTTTCCACAAATCAATCCTTAAAAAGAACATTTACTTTTTACGAGGTGTCGTGTATAGATGTCGACCCAGTCACTTCATGAATCTAAATGTGTCCCACACTTCTTTGTGGTACTCAATTTTTTTTTAAATAGGTAATTTGCACTCCCACTTTCATAGAGTATTTTTAACTGTGTGTGTATATATATATATATATTTTTATACAAAAAAATTTTGAATTATTTATTTTTAGTTTCAACAATCGTTTTATACCTTTTATGTAAAAATATATCCCACAATACCAATCAACCAACCAGTATCATGTCTAAACTCTACATAATTTTTACAAACATACTTAATATATAATTGATTTGTTAATGAACGAGAAAGGAGGAGAAAGAAAATATGTTGATGTGCTTGTGTAAATTACACAACAATTTTACACATTGATGACGTTGCATTGTACCTTAACAGACTGCTGAGATAAAAAAAATAATAAAAATAAAAAATTACACATCATGCGTGGCAGTGTATATTTTACACAAAAGATTATTTTAACAGACTGCTGGAGATGCTCTTAAGTTTGCAATAAATAACCCAAGTTTATAAATTTGAACAATAACACTCCCAATCATGATAAGAGTATATAATTATCCTTGGACTTCTAAATTGACCCATTTAAATCATTAAAGTACAATATTAACATTTATAAGTCGACTTTTTATTTAACCAAAATGACTCTTAAGAAAAAAGAAACCAAACTTCACCATTGTGGCCGCAAAACAACGGAGCCAAGAATTTTTAATTGGGAGGGGGGGACTAGTAATGTAAAATTAAATTGTTAAATTTTCATGCATGTTTAATGACTCTCATTGAAATAGATGGATTCATTATATTATCTAATACTTAAACAAAATTCTAATACAAAACCCTGATTTTCTATCTCAAAAAGTAAGAAATATGATGAGGGAACTAGTAATGTAAAATTAAATTTTTTAAATAATATAAAATCATTGTAAGAAATTTTTTTTTTGCATGTTTAATGCCCTCGCTAAAATAAATGGATTAGTTATATTATCTAATACTTAAACAAAATTCTAATACAAAATTCTGAATTTCCATCTCAAAAAGTAAAAAATATGATTTTTAAATATATTTTTATTATTATTCCGTAGTAATATATTAAATATTAAAAGACCTTTTTTAATAGCCATATATTAAATATTACCTTAAGTAATCACACACAAGCTAATCTTTTTACTTCTTAGTATTTACTGAAACATTACTTACACAATATGTCACATTTTTCTTCCACAAAAACAAAGAAAAAAAAAAAAAAAAAAAACACATGTCACGATACAATCATATTTGTTTTTTCATTATTGAGGGCCATTTTAGTCAATTAATAGGGGGGTTATAAAGGTAATTTAATGATTCACATGGGTTAATTCAGAAGTCAAATAGCAAATACGTACTTTTATCACGATTAGGGTGTCTTTATTCATTTTACAAAACCTGTGTGGTGTCATCGTCCGAAAAATACTTAAGTTGTAGGTAGCTGTTTTTAACCGAAAATTGGGGGTCAGTGCAATTTACCCTTTAAAAAAATATTATTTCGGACACTTGGTCCAAACATTCTGAACATTCAACCAACATATTTTACATACTTCTTCATATATATAATGTGGCAACTTTGTGGGTGGGTGTGCCGTGCGCGGGTGCGAGGCACTGGCAGGTTACCACACTGAGCGAGTTACGAGTGCACAATCCCATATTGCTTAGGTAGGAAAATTTGAAGTGCTTATATGTGGTGATGTTATCTCTAATTGGTATGAGGCCTTTTTGGATAAAACCCAATAGCAAAATCGTGTCGACTCAAACCCAAAGCGGACAATATCATACCATGTGGTGGAGTAGGTCGTTAAAAATGGTATCAGAGCCTGATCCAGCTAGAAGTATAGCCAACAAGGACGTTGGGCCCCAAAGGGGGTGTGATTGTGGCAACCTTGTGGGTAGGTGCAAAGCACTAGCAGGCTACTACACTAAGCAAGTTACGGGTGCACAATCCCACATCGCCTGGGTAGGAGAATTGTGAGGTGCTTATATGTGGTGGTGTTATTTCTAATTGGTATGAAGTCTTTTTAGGTAAAACCAAATAACAAAATCGTGCAGACTCAAGCCCAAAACGGACAACATCATACCATGTGGTGAAGTGGATCGTTACACACACACACACACACATTTATAAAACAAGCACACCACATTCTTAAAAACATTTTTAACCTCTAAATAACAAAAAATATAACTAATGACAAGATAAAATAATAATATCATATATAATATAACATATTCTTTTTTTATATTCTAATACCTTTATCTTTAAACTTGTGTAACTTTCATATAGAATTTATAAATTAATGAGTAAAGTGCAAAAAAATCCCCTTAAAGTATTGGCCATGTGCAATTAACCCCACTGAACTATAATTTGCCCCTTTGAACTACTGAATTTTTGCAATTAACCCCCAATGTGACATCTCCGACCAATTGGTTATAACGGAAATCATAAAAGACAATTTTACCCCTTAGATAAAACTACGTCGTTTCACTAAAAATTTCAGCAACCACCAATTTTAGCCCCAAAATCGAGTCCTATTCCGGACCCGGGGAAAACAACCCAAGCCCAAACAGGGCCAATCAAGCCACATGACTTAAACAAGGAAATTGGGTAGACTTTTTCTTGTGAATTCATTATGCTGAACAAAGACCATCGAGCTCTCCGCCGATGTCAAAGCTAACCCCAATCCGATGGCCATCATCCAAAGCCAAGGTTGCAGCCTTTTAATCCCGCCGGCCGCCATCAAACCCAATCACGGCCGAGATTCTTCATAACAGCCCATCACCAGAACCACGACTTCTTTAGTCACTGATTCGCTATCGTCTTGAACCAGCCGTCTTCATGGGCCGAGCACACCGCCGTCCGTGTTCTGAGCACCACCGTAAGCCAGCGCCGAGCTTCGCCTCATCTGCTGACCTCCCCGTTTCGAGCTCGCCGCCACCTCCATCATAGCTGACACCAATTGAGCCTATCCCTGCCGCTATCAAGCATCGGGAAGGAGTGGAGGCTGATTTGGGCAAAGCCGCCGTCGTTAAGAAGAGGAAAGGAACGCAGGGCGGACCAGTGCTGAGTCGATTCTGGGAATGAGCGGTGGGTCAGTTTCTGGAAGGGGAAACCGTCACGGTGCTTTGCTACCGCCGCTGACAACCTTCGGTCTGCTCTCTTTACTAGTTTTACTCCGGTGAGCTGGATCGATGATTTCTTGCTCCGCCGACAAGCTGTTCTTAAATAATCAGGCCGAGGCGACAATGGTTTTCCATATGTTAAATGCGTAGTTGTAGGGACAGTGGTGATGGTATTATCGGTGGGGATGACGAGGATGGTGGAGGAGTTGGTTTCGATTGTGACGTGAATGGCCATGATGATTGTAATGGATATGGATATGGACACTATGAAAAAAGATGAACAGTGATTATAACTATATATACACATATATTTCTGTTTTATTGACAATGAATAGTGTGTGTACTTAGCATAAGGGCGTGTTTGGGTATTTTAAGTAGTTTTGGGTGTAAAGGTAAAGGGTTGTATGGTCACTTAAAGAAATTTGGGTTGTCATGTGACCCGCACGTGCTTCTTCACGGTCAAATTCAACCGGCTTATAGTTGGATAGGATTAATTGCAACAAATTGGTTAGTTTAGGGGGGTTGTATGCCAAATTATTAGATCAAAGGGGTTTTCTACTATATGGCCAATACTTCAAGGGGGTTTTTTGCACTTTACACCTAAATTAATTTACCCTTTTTTTAAAAAAAATTATTTCGGACACTTTGTCCAAACATTCTAAACATTCAACCAACATATTTTACATACTTCTTCATATATATATTGTGGCAACCTTGTGGGTTGGTGTGCTGTGCGAGGGTGCGAGGTACTGGCAAGCTACCACACTGAGCGAGTTATGGGTGCACAATCCCACATCGCTTAGGTAAAAAAAATGTGAAATGCTTATATGTGGTGGTGTTATATTTAATTAGTATGAGGCCTTTTGGGATAAAACCCAATAGCAAAATCGTGCGGGGTCAAACCCAAAGCGGACAATATCATTCCATGTGGTAGAATGGCTCGTTAAAAATGGTATCAGAGACTGATCTTGCTAGAAGTGCGGCCAACGAGAACGTTGGCCCCAAACGGGGTGTGATTGTGGCAATCCTGTAGGTGGGTGCGAGGCACTAGCGGGCTACCACACTGAGCGAGTTACGAGTACACAATCCCGCATCGCCAGGGTAGGAGAATTGTGAAGTGCTTATATGTGGTGGTGTTATCTCTAATTGGTATGAGGTCTTTTGGGGTAAAACCCAATAGCAAAATCGTGCGGGCTCAAATCCAAAGCAGACAATATCATACCACGTGGTAGAGTGAATTGTTACACACACACACACACACACACACAACAAGCACACCACATTCTTAAAAACATTTTTAACCTCTAAATAACAAAAATATAACTAATGATAAGATAAAATAATAATATCATATAGAATATAACATATATATATATTTTTAATATTCGAATACCTTTATCTTTAAAGTTAAAACTCGTGTAACTTTAATATAGAATTTATAAATTAATTAAGTTTCTATGGTTTGTCTCATCCAATATATATATAAATGAAAATTACATTTATATTAGTTGTATCCACGTCATGTTCTACTTTAAAAAAAATTGAGGTGTCGACATATTCGTATTGTATTGTGTCCGTGCTTTTTGTATCCATGCTTGTTAGTTCTTGTGATATTGTGTGTAGACAAACAACCTATCTAATAGGGAATCAAGCCTAATAGAGTGCAATTCGGGTAAGGCTAACTTATACTTACCTTAAGATATAAAATATTGAGCTGACTTTTTTATAATGAGTCGAGTACTTGTCTTTTAATTAACTTAAAGGGAATCCAAAGACTTAAGTTGTTAGGTATCATAGTTTACCTGTCCATATATGCGCAAGTCCTTCTCCATTCGAATCCAATGTAGGACAAGACCCCTTTAACATTTTTTTTCTACCCGAACTTGTAATACTCTTGTTGTAATTTGCCACTTTGCATAAATGTCCCCCTAACAATGAGAAGACCTAGTAACAATCGAAACCTGGACTTCATCTAGGTAGAACCTTGGAGTAGCACTGAATTAAGGATTGAGTTTAATTTAGATACCACTTTAACAGATCGACACTTGCTTATTGACTCAAAAACTTAAACTATTGGATATTATTACGTACTGGCCTATAAATGAGTCCAATGTGTGACAAATCCCCTCTACCATAGGTCCAATATATGTGGCACCATGTTTAACTTTTTGGACTTGGTAAATTGGATTAATCTTGGGCATGATCACTCTCATGCAAACAAAAGTATTTAAACTTATTGTAAATATACATATAATTGTAAAAAATTTTTGAAAAAAAATGAATTTTCATAAAGAATAGCATACGATAAATCAAAATTTTTAAAATAAATGGAAAATTACAATTTAGTCTTAATTACTTTTCAATTATAAAGACCAATAAATTCTATAAAAAAAATTTATTAAGAAAAAAATATTGCACTTGTTATAAATATTTTTTACAAAGTTCGTAAATCCATGAGCTACAATTTTTTCCAAGTTATGTCATTCCCATACATTTAATATTATTTTCTTATTAAAATACATATTTTAAAATCCAAGCTATTTTTATGCAACCTCTTATATTACATTTTTTTTTTTAAAAAAAATTACATACATTTACCTTTCATTCTTGAAAATTAATTGTTTTGAAAAAAATCTTAAGTTGAAAATTTCAAAACAACTTAAATAATTCCTTGATTTTTAATGAAATATATTGCATGAAAAAGATATAACTTTTAAATACTTTTGTTTTAGTAAAAAATAAAATAAAATATGATATAATAAGTTTCATTATAAATAGTGAAGTTTAATATATGTCATCATTTTGAAAAATTGCTAAGTTTGGTGGTACTTTAATTTATGTATCTTTTTTATTATTTTTTATTTTTTTCAATTGTTATGATGAACTTATATCAATTATAAAATAAGAGTAAATGGTAGAATTAATATTTTAGTAATAGAATGATACTAGAGATAATTTCAAAGAGATAATAAAATTGATAGAGTATCTTTCTATTATTAATATATTTTTGGGTAAAGTGCAAAAAACTCCCCTAATCTTTACTTTCTTACCCAATAAATCACCCCAACTTATATTTTTACAGTAAACCCCCTAAACTATCCCATTATTTGACAAAAAAACACCCGACATCACTATTTCGTTTGTTTTTTTCCAGTTAAATCTAGGCTGTAATTTGAAAAAAGAAAATGTTACCTTTATTACCATTATAATATATAAGGGTAAAGTGCAAATAACCCCCTGAACTATATATGTCTAAGTTTACAAATAACTCCCATAAACTATATTTTGTACACCATGCCTCATGAATTATCACATTTTTGTTAAATGGTCATAATGCCTTTTCTTATTGAATTACACTTAATATATTTTTCTTTATAAAATAAATATGAACAAAATTATACTATTTTAATGACATATTTCCCATCAAATGTGCATAAATTTACCATTAATTATTGAAATTAATTTTTTAAATAAAAATCTTAAGTAGAAAAAAATTTCAGTAATTTTTTATTTTTCATGAATATACTGTATGAAAAAAGTATTTTTTTTATTTAATTAATTTCTTATTTTTTTATTAATATATTGTATGAAAAAAATTATTTTTTCCCTGCAAAGAAGTTTTAACTAAGCATATCAAATTTTACTCTAAATAGTAAAGTTTTAACAATAAGTTAATCATTTTAGAAAATGGCTAAATTTGATGCAAGTTACAACACTGCATTTTTAAATTTTCCCATTATTATGATAAATTGATATAGATAATAAAATTAAGGTAAATTCGAATTTTTGTTTAAGATAAATGATATAATTAATATTTAGATAAGGAAAAGAAATGACCAATTTAATAAAAATGGTTAAAATTATTTTTTGTGATGGGTATATCCTTAGTTACAATAAATCATTAGTTTAAGGGGGCTGTTTGTAGTTTAGAGGGAATTCAGAAGTTTTTTTGCAATCAAATAAGGTCATTTTACTAAAAGGTAATTTGGTAATCTATTATCTTCGATTACTTCCAATGGCGGCTAATTTTGATTTATCTTTAAATTGCACTTTTTAAATAGTTCAGGAGTACTTCTTAGTTTAGTGTTTTTTTTTGAGTTTTTTTACTGATAGTTAGGGGGTTTATTGCACTTTACCTTATATTTTTTAATATTTTGGTTTGAAAATTTTTAGATTTGGTCTCGGGTTGGCCCTACCGAACCTGGACCCTATTTTCGGATTATCATGCCACTTCACATATACAAGTCCTAACACGCGTCCCTACCTTATGTTATCAAGTGTACTGGCACACACATTCTCCAAAAGTAACTGACACATCAGCAGGTAAAATTTTATATTTGTTTACCAAAAGTCTAGAGAGAGAAACTACTAGAGAGAGATTCCCATAGACACAGAAGGATAGCCACCTGATTGGTAGCATGGCTGTGACTCAAGCCAAGTGTTGAGCAGTTCAATTAACCACGATTTAATTAACCCAACCCCAACTCTAACTCATGGTTAAAGTTAAACCTTGTGAGTTTTAATACCACCACCCCCAACTTCACTCTCTCACTCCTCTCTATCACTACTCTCTCTCTCTCTCTCTCTCTCTCTCTCTCTAGCTCTCTGTTTGTCCTCGTTTTGGTAACCCACTTCAGCTCACCAGAAAACAAGCCCCCCATATATAGTATATTGTAGGACATTCTAGGCTTACCCATCAAACTCTCTCATAAGCCTCTATCATCCTCTCTCTACACTCTGCTGTAATTTGAGGAGGGAGAGAGAGAGAGAGAGAGAGAGAGAGAGAGAGAGTACAGAGTACCCCCAAATATCCAAAAATGAAGAGGTCATATTCTCCTTCTTCTTCGTCTTCATCCGTTGAGTCTCATCTCATTAATCATATTCATCAATCAGAAGAAGAACCCAAGAACAAGCGTTCAAGAGCTAAGAGAAATCTCAACCCAGTCAATGCTCAGAGTCCCAATTCTGGTGCCAGAAGAAGCTCCATTTACAGAGGAGTCACCAGGTCTCTCTCTCTCTATATATATCTATATATGTCTATATATGTGTATATATGATGCTAATTCATGATTTATGAGGTGGGTTTTGTTTTGCATGCATGAGATTTGATTGGTGATCGAATGAATTTGACATGTACAGGCATAGATGGACAGGGAGGTATGAAGCTCATCTATGGGACAAGAGTACATGGAATAGCATTCAGAACAAGAGAGGACGACAAAGTAAATACCTTTTTACTTGTTAGATTTGTTGCCTTGGATTAAAAAATTAGATGACAAATCAAGGAGATCTGCGATCTTTTTTTAATTACAATTATATACAGATACATATATGTGTGTGTGTTTGTGTGTGTGTAATTACTTAATTTTCTTTTGTGGTATTGGTGGTTTGGTGTTCTGACTGTGTGTTTTATTTTTGATGATGGTGATGGTGATGATATCTGTCACTGTAACGTTCATTTACGCTTTTGTCGCTGCTTAATTAGTTTATTTGGGTAAGTTAATCCTCTGCCTCTCTCCTATCTCTTTCAATTTGTTTTCTATTTCCTTTCTTAGTTTATTATATTTTATTACTGTTTATTTTATTTTATTTTTTATTTTTATTTTTTTTTCAAGAATAAATTCATCTTCATCCTTCGGTGGGAGTTGGACTAATCTAGGCTTTAAAAATGTGTCATGATAGTCCAAGTGAGTGATGCACAAAAAATCGTTAGAACTGTAAATTAGATCGGACCAAATCGAACGGTGCAATTTGGTTCGGTTTTTTGATGAAATGGTTTGGTTTTGGTTCTCAAAATTAAAAAACCTTTATCTAACCATGCGGGTTCGATTTTGGTTTGAAGTGGAATTGAACCATTGGTCATAATTTAATATGTATATATACATATATTATAATACAAATGTTTGATTTTTATTAGTAAAACCATAATACATAGAATAAATCATATATATATATATACTCCATATATTAAGTTTCTTGTTTTTCATTGTATTAATTTCAACCTATATGAAAGTGCCAAAACCATAGAATCAAGCTGATCATTTAAAATTCGGTTCAGTTCCAATAGTTCTAATACAAGCATTGCGACTAATTAGGTCAATAATACATGCGCGGATATAAATATGTGTTAGGTTAGTTCGGTAAAACATCAAAATAGTAACTTTTTTGTAAGATTAGTCGATAATACAAGCATGGTTATAAATATGTTATATGTCTCAGGTTAGTTCAAGAAAACGATAAAAAAACAATTGTTTTATAAGAGTATTGCTATACAAGGGGACTAACTAGGTCAATAATACACACACGGTGATACGTGTGTTAGGTTAGTTCGGGAAAATGTCAAAAATGGTAAACTTTTTTATAAGATCATTGATATACAAGGAGGCTAATTAGGTCGATAATACATGGTTATAAATGTGTGTCAGGTTAGTTCGGGAAAATGTCAAAATAGTAGCTTTTTATAAGAATAATGACATACAAGGTGACTAATTAGGTCCATAATACATGCATGGCTTTAAATATGTGTCAGTCAGTTTGGAATAACTTCATAAGAGTAATGATATACAAGGCGGCTAATTAGGCAGATTATGCAAATAAAGCACAACCATTTAATGCATCCACATGGGTCCACACGATGTCATATATTATTTTCTCATCCCTTTGTGGACTTGAAATTTTATATCTCCTCGAGAGTTATATATCTTCGTCCTTTGGATGTGTCTAATCTAGATGAATGCACTTGATTGATCTTATAAGTTCACACACATTATATAAACGCGTGTGCCAGGTTAGTTTGAAAAATTTTAGTAATAAATAAACACGTGTGTCGGGTTAGTCTGAAAAACAATTTTCAAACTTTTGATAAGAAATTTATCATCCTTATTTTTTGGATGGGACTAATCTCAAATCACTAATACCTGCACACCTAAAAAAAGTTGAAATAACAAATTTTATATTGTAAGGTTTTCATTTATGAATGCTCTAGGTTTTTATGACCAGACACTAACGTGAGACATTATGTGGGACATATTATAGGAGCATATGACAATGAGGAAGCAGCTGCTCGTACCTATGATCTTGCGGCGCTTAAATACTGGGGGCCCAATACAGCTTTGAACTTTCAGGTCATAACTAAACTTTTATATATATATATATATATATATATATGGATATCTGTATATTAAAATTTTATGATAAAGGTATGTATTTATATATATATTTGATGAAATACAGATTGATACATATATTAAGGAGCTGGAAGAAATGCAAAAGCTATCCAAGGAAGAATATTTAGCTTCACTAAGGAGGCAGAGCAGTGGATTTTCAAGAGGAGTTTCAAAGTACCGTGGGGTAGCAAGGTATTTATTATATAAAAGTTTTGTAGAAAGTTAATTATATAGCAATATATATATATGTGTGTGTGTGTGTATGAGTTTCTCTTATTATATTGCATTTACTAAGAACTTGTGGTTGGCTGGATGGGCCAAAATTGGTCCCATTATTTGGACTTGCAAGTTTAAGTTGCGGGAATTATTAAATAGTAGTAGTAGACTAGTAGTAGGTATGGCATAACTCAAATTTATTTTACAAATATATATGTGTATACATATATGTATAATTTACCAGACAAGTAGACAACAATATATGTATGTATGTGTGTATTTTGTTCGGAAATGAAAAAGTTTGGCCTACTATGCATTTGACAGGCACCATCACAATGGGAGGTGGGAGGCACGAATCGGGCGTGTTTTAGGAAACAAATATCTGTACCTTGGGACCTACAGTAAGTTCTCTCTTATATAAAATTTATTGTAATATTATATTTACCAACTCTAATGTTGCTTTTGAATGGAGTCTAGTGGAGTTTTTGTGTATTTACATTAAGCTCAAACTCAAGTTGATTTTAAGAATAAGTGTACGAGTTAAACTCGATCTTTGGGTTGTTTTGCTTGATTCAAACTTAAACTTGAGCTTGAGACCAAAATTGACTTTCAAAATTTGGTTACAAGTCCTAATGAGCTCTATCCAAGATCACTCATGAGTTTATTTACGAATCTCTATTAACAAACATGTTCACAAACTAACATGAAGTTATTCACACTCGATTCATTTTGTTCTTGTTCCAATTTTACTTGTTTATTTAGTATGAACACAAGTTGATTATTTAGCGAGTCAAGTTCGAACGGGTTACGAACGTCTCATTTTATTTGCAACTCACAATATGTGGTTACTTCTTTAAATTTTCTTCATTTTTCTATTTTTAGCAATTTCTTGCATGCTGAAATGTGGCATGATGCATGTGACTATGTAGCAAAGTTCATTACCCATTTTGCCCCTTCATTGGACACTTTCCAAAAGGCCAAATACATTAATGTGGCCCACTTAACAGAGTTGTTCATGTGTCCCACCAAGGTAATTAGCAAGTGCCATGCAATCATACACATGCCCCAAAAAGAAGGATCCTTTTTTTATATATAAAACAAAAGTCCTTTAATTTGGATTAATGCTATACAACTTAATAAAGACAATTCACTAATTTTATATTTAGCATAGAAAAAAAAGCTATCACGAAAACATTCTTATGTGAGCTCATGTCTGGACCCCTTCAATGGAGTCCGTGAAACGCTTATAGCGGACCGCTCATGGTAGCGTTACCTGTAAAATACTTTATTTAATAAATCACAAATGATATCTTTCCTTTGGTTTGTGAATTTTCACGAAATTTTTTATTTTCGTATTTTCATTGAAATAGAAGCTTTCTTATCCTTTTAACCTTCAAGTGCCTGAATTATATATATATATATATATATATATATATATATATATATATATATTTATTTATTTATTTGCTAAACGAGCAATGTTTTGGGTAGTTACACCCACATTCTTTAAAAATAAATGAATCTCAAGTATAGTATAAATTATATTCAGAACAAAGTCAAAACTTTGTCATACATTAAATAATATATGCAAGTTAGGATTCTTTTAATTAAATGAAAAAGAAAATAGAAGACACGTGATGTCCATGTGGAGATCCCAGACATTTGAACAAAAGTTATATTCTTTTGTATTCTTTTCTATTTGTCTGGTACAACAATCAAAAGCTAATCTACTTTGTTTTATTATGTTTCTTAGATATATAGATATTTAATCTTTATTTATTTATTTATATTATTTATTTATTTTTATTACTCTTGTTATTATATCTTCTAAAGGCACTCAAGAGGAAGCAGCAGTAGCATATGACATGGCAGCCATAGAGCACAGAGGACCAAATGCAGTGACCAATTTTGACATTAGCAGCTATGCAGGCAAGTTCAAGAATATAGCCCTACCACCAGAACAACCCGATGCCAAGTCCTCCACCGATCAAACTCAACCTCGTGATCGCGGAGACCAACAACAAGAACAAGAACAACCACAACAACAACAACATGAAGAACAAATGGTCCGACGACCCCCACAACAAAAACTTGAACAACATGAAGAACAAATGGTCCGACCCCAACAACAAAAATTTGAAGAACAAATGGTCTGTCCACACCTTCCCAACTTTGAGCTCCCTCTACCATTCGACCCCCCACCTGCATTAATGCCGGTGATGGACCTCACCGACGAGCATGAGGACCCTTGGAGCATCTATCTCAATACGGTGTACAGTCAGTTCAACATTCCTGACTTCCCCCTTGAACAAGCTGAAGAATTACCGGACTTGTTTGACAGCAGGGGTTTCGTGGATGACATCGACTCCCTATTTGATGGATTCTCGGATGAGGATTACTTGAATGTGAGTGGCACAATGAACACTACAGGTTCAGGGAATGAAGCTGATGGATTCTCGGATGAGAATGACTTGAATGTGAGTGGCACATTGAACACCACAGGTTTCGGGATTGAGGCTGACGGATTATCGGATGAGAGTTACTTGAATGTGAGTGGCACATTTAACACTACAGGTTCCGGGAGTGAAACTGACGGATTCTCGGATGAGAATGACTTGAATTTGAGTGGCACATTGAACACCACAGGCTCTGGGATTGAGGCTGATAGTTTGGTGGGTGCAGTGCAGGAAGGATCAACTTCTCCCATTTCTTCGCCTTCACTGTCATTGCTGCCTTCTTCACCGTCAACGCCATCTTCTTCGTCCTCTTCGACAACCACCATTGATGACGTCTTTGACAACAACCTTTGATCGGTTTCTTGTAACTAGTTCGGTGTGGAGAAGGTCTTTGGATCGTTGGAGTTTGTTTAGGTTTGTTTAGTTTTGGTGTAGGGGACTGTTGTGGGTGGATAGGAAACATAAAACATGTCTTGGAGTTTCTTCCTTTTTCTCTTTTCCTTCCTTGGTCACAAAAAATATGGACAAAAGTGAAGCTAGGTAGTGACTTGTGTTTTCTTTTCATTCTCTTTGTTTTCGAGTCATATTTTTCTTCCTTTTCTCCTAAGAACTGGCTTGTGGGATATGGAATTTTGTTTTTGTTTTTGTTTATCTTCACAAACTAGGGAGGGGGGACACGAACACGGGCACGCTTGAGAGCTGGCCTGATTGGAATTTTGTTATTATCTTTGTTTTTACCGGAAATAGATAGGTGAGAAGAAGTTGAGTCCCGGACATAAACATTAGAAAACCGTTGGACATTAAATTTTCAGCCACGAGGCACAAGGTTGTTTTAAAACTGTTTTCTTTGTAGATAAAATTGACAATAACTAAACAGAGTATAGAGAGTAGCCAACAAAATACGAGTTTCCATTTTTGCAAGATAAGAGGATAAGCAAAAAGACCAATGGAAAGAAATTCAAAATGTTCTTAAAGGGGAACTAGGCAACAACTCATTTTTTATTTTTACTTTTATTTTTGCTAGTTCCCACTTTGCCCTTTTGGGACCTGAACCATCAACTTTTTTCTTTGAAAGGCATCAGACTACAATGTCTTGAGAAGTATCTATTGGGCAATCACACTTGCCTTAATATTTCTGTTTTAAAGTGTGGTCAATATTATTTGGAAGTTTGTTTGGTAACGTATATTTGTTGCAAGAATTTTTAGAAACAAAAACATGAAAACATGTTTAATAAAAAAGTGTTGTAAGTTTGAAAAAATAAATGGTTAATTAAAAATGTTATTTTAGAGTTTTTTTATTTTTTTTGGTGAACAGTGCTTTTGTTATAGTGCAGAAGGAACAGGAAGTATCAATTTTTTGCTTTCGGTTTTGGCCTCTTTTTCAGAAGCGCTTTGATACTATTTAAATTGCAACAAATATTACCGAACACGTTTCGTGCTTTTGCTTCATTACAGGACATTGACAGAAATAAAAAATACAAAGCAGCAGCTGTTGTTAAACAGACCCTATAATGTGTTTATTTATGTACAGGTAATTACAAAACAAGCTAAAAGCACAATCCAATGGATAAGCCAAATGAAAGGGATGCCCAAAAGCTTGTCTACAGCAAAAGCTAAAGCAGGTCCAAGATAAATACAGTCTGTCCGTTATAATAAAAATTAAAAATGATAATAAAAATGATATTAGAAATAAAAATGATATCAATGCCGATTACTTGGTAAACCTTTGCTTTTCATCTTTTAATAAAAATGATAATAAAAATACTATTGCACAATTCTGGATTAATTACTTCGTAAACCTTTGCTTTTCATCTTTTAGTTAATAAAAATGACATCAATGCCGACTTGTATGTTTTTGTACCGACTAATGCGACAATTGTTGGAGATAAAAACACTTTAAGAAATAAGAGAGAGTCTATTCTTATTTTTTATTGACAAAATGTCCTTGTTGAATTTTATATACTTATTAGAATCACACACACAAAAAAAAAAAATAACCCGATAAGTTTGTACTCATAATGTGAAATAATTTTATTTGAGGAAGAAAGAAATTTCTAACCCATTAATGTTGTCTCAACTCATCCAAGAAAGGAGCAACACAACAAAGAGAAACATTTAGAAGTTTAAATCTCTTACCCATAAGAAATAATTAGCCTAAAAATAAAAATAAAAACAAAATTAGTATATGAGAAATATTATAAAATGAAACAAGTTATGCATTTATAAATCTCTCACCAATATTTAAAATTAGTTAAAAATTAGGAATTTTATGTTTTTTTTTTTTTTTTTTTTTTCACTCAAAGATGAGATAAAAAGTTTTTTGTTATATTTTTAAAAAGAAATGAACCGTATTAGGGCTTGAAAATAACAAGATTGCAGTTTGTTTGTATAAAGTTTCTAAACTTAAAGAATAATAGATGGATTTTTTCAGTATTGAAATTATATATCACAATACGTATTTTCAAATAAAAGGTACTTGATTAAATTCCAAGCGAAGTTTGATAATTAAGCTTAGTGAGTCACCAACTACGTTCATAAGCCCATCGATGGCGTTTTTACAGCACATTTTATAACTTCTTTTAATGATATAATTTCTCACCATAATTTCAAATTTTTATTTTTATTTTTATTTTTCAATAAGAATCAAAATTTAAATCACATAATACTTCTCAACAGCCCCTCTCATATTCCACACGTACTCTTATTTAGTGTGACTTAAATTTTAAATTTTTCACGCATCCTTATTTGAATTCTCCCACTCTCACTCCCACTCCCACTCTTGTAAGTCAACAGGCTCATTTGGTATGAGCTTTATTTTAGACATTTTGTTTTTGACTAAAATAAAAATAGTGTTTTTGTTGTAGAAGTGTTTTGGAAAAAAATCGAAAGTACGTTTAGGAACGATATTTTGCTGTGGAAATGTCGGAAACAGAAACAAGGAAAATATGATTTTGGGCCATGAACAATTATCAAAATAAAAAAAAATAATTTTTTGGTCACTTTTTAGGAAATATTTTAGTATTATATAAAATAAAATAAAATCACACCAAACATAATTTTGTTGTCAAATTCAATAAAGTATCAACCTAAAAATAAAAATAGTAAAAACAAAGAAACTACACTCTCTTTCCCCTCCACTCAAAATTAGATGACAAAACTTCGCTACTAAAAAGAAAGGACAAAACATGAAACTTGAAAAGTTTACGAGGATACATTTATTCTAATATGGAAAGGAAGCACATAAGATATAAATCTCTTTCATAAGCAGCCTCTCTCTTTCTCTCTCCACATCGCGTTGTAATTTGAGGGGAGAGAGAGAGAGAGAGAGAGGAGAGAGTAGCCCCCAAATATCCAACATGAAGAGGACCCCTCCTCCTACTTCATCATCTTCAGCTGTTGAGTCTCATCTCATTGATAACATTCATCAATCAGAAGAAAATCCCAAGAACAAGCGTTCAAGAGCTAAGGGAAATCTCAACGCCCCAGTCAATGCTCAGAGTCCCAACTCTGGCGCCAGAAGAAGCTCCATTTACAGAGGAGTAACCAGGTTTCTCTCTCTCTCTATATATCTATATATACGTGTATAAATGATGCTAATTCATGATTTATGAAGTGGGTTTTGTTCATTTTTGCATTTGCATGCGTGAGATTTGATTGGTGATCGAATGAATTTGACATGTACAGGCATAGATGGACAGGGAGGTTTGAAGCTCATCTATGGGACAAGAATACATGGAATAGCATTCAAAACAAGAGAGGACGACAAAGTGAATATCTTTTTACTTGTTAGATTTGTTTCCTTGGATTAAACAATTAGATGAAAAATCAAGGAGATCTGCAATCTTTTTTTTAAAAAAAAAAATTATTTCAAATATATATATATAGATATTATATATACATATATATATGTGTGTGTGTAATTAGTTTAAATTTTTTTTCTTAGATTTTGTGGTACTGGTGGTTTTGTGTTCTGACTGTGGTATATTTTTGACGATGATGGTGGTGATGATCTCTGTCACTGTAACGTTGATACATACGCTTTTGTCGCTGCTTAGTTTATTTGGGTAAGTCAAGCCTCTGCCTTTCTCCTCTCTCTTTCAACTTGTTTTTTTATTTTCTTTCTTAGTTTATCATATTCCGTATTCTATTCGAATACGTAGTAGGAGTATTTGAGTAATGTGTGTGTGTTTTTCTTTTCTTTTTCTCGACAACAAATTTAGGGAAGGGGGTCCCCTTTTCTACAACTGGATCCCACTTTTTCTTTTCCTTTAAAAGAAATCACAAGGATATCTCTCATCCTTTATTTTGGAGTAATACCATAACTACCCTCTATAAATTTATTTCGGAGTAATCACATTGGTTGACCAAATTTTATGTTTTGCTTCGGCATTGGGGACTTGGATTAAAGTTTGGTTTACATTTTCTTCTCATGAACCGGTTCTTAGAATTCGGAACATGATAACATGAAATAACTATTATTTTATAATAGTAATGATATTCAAGTGGACTAATTAGGTTAATAATATATTCGAGATTATAAATGTGTCAAGTTAGTTCGAAAAAACAAGTTTTCTTATAATATTAATGATACACGAAGTTGCTAATTAGGTCAATAATAAGGCCATAATAAATGCATGGTTATAAATATGTGTCATGTTAGCTTGACAAAATGTTAAAATAAATTTTTTTTTTTTCTAAGAGTAATGATATACAAAGCAACTAATTAGGTCAATAATACATGCACAGTTATATATGTGTCAGCTTAGTTTCAAAAAAGGTCAAAATAGTAACTTTATATAAGAAAAATGATATACAAAGCTGCTAATTAGTTCGATAATACATGCACGATAATACATGCACGGTTATATATGTGTCAAGTTAGTTCGAAAAACGTCAAAATAGTAACTTTTTATAAGAAAAATGATATACAAGGTGACAAATTAGGTTGAGAATAAAAGCTTGGCTATAAATATGTGTCAGTAGTTCGGAACATCATCAAAATAATATTTTTATTTTTATTTTCTACGTATAAAAGTAATTTATACAAGGAGACTAATTAGGTCGATTATACAACTAAAGCACAACCATTATTACATTCATATGCCTGATATCATTTTTTTTTTTTCTCGTCCTTCGTTAGGTTAAAATTTTGGAGGAATTACACTCATACCCTTTGAGATTTGTCCTAATTACAGTCATATATAAGTTAGCCTATTTTTGAACAATGACACTCCTCAAATTTGATAAAGTTAATAGAGAGTCCTCAGCCATCAGTTGCCACCTAACATAATGACCGTATTGCCCTTTGACTTATGAATTGCCCTCTTTGTTTTTTTAATTTTTTTAAACTTTAAAAATAATAAACCAAAATACCATTTTAGGACAAAAATAACCTCCACCCACCATTACAGCCTTCTGAAACCCTGCACCCCTACCATCGCTACCTCTTGGAAGACCACCCACCCGTACATTATCTAAAGGGAAAGGGAGACTTTTGGCGGCCTGTAGATTGCCAACATACGTGAATTCTTTGTCTAAAAAATTTAAACTCTTTTTACCAAAATTCTAAATAGGAACAGAAACTTCAAATGTTCAGAAGACAATCTTAATGATCTCCATAAATTCTATTTTATGGATATAACATGGATAATTGAGTTAGCTTTCCAACCTAATTTGAATCAACTCAAAATTCTAACTATTCTATTAATTATGCTCAATTTACTAAAGCATGTTTTGAACTACGCTATCATTAGAAAACTGCGACTTTGAAGGCAAATCAGACTGAAATCCAAAATTTTTTATTTTTAGATATGAAGTAGATAATTGAGTTAGCTTTCCAACTCAATTTGAATCACTTACAAGTATTCTATGAGATATGCTCCAAATACTGAAGCATATTCTGAACTGCTATTACTAGAAAACCGTGACTTTGAAAGTAAATAAACATTATAACTCTAAAAATTAGTGTGAATAATTGAGTTATCTTTCCAACTCAATTTGAATTAACTCAAAACTCCAATTATTCTATCAGATATGCTAACAATACTGAAGCATTTTCTGAATTCTTATCACCAGAAACAGTGAACCTTGTGGAACTCCAAAAATTTTTATTTTTCAAATATAACATGGATAATTGAGTTAGGTTTCCAACCTAATTTGAATCACCTAAAAAATCCAAGTATTTTATGAAATATACTTAATATACTGAAGCATGTTTTGAATTGTTACCACAAAAAAACCTGGAGGTTGATTATAACATATTATTAGCTACGAATTTTTATTCTTCAACCTCTTTTGAAACAATCTTTAATGGTTGATTATAACATATTATAAACTACCAAATCTTCACTCCTAAAGAGTGTATGAAACACCAAAGGTCAAGGGTTCAGGTTTCAATAGAAACAAAAATGGGTGCAGGAGTGTGTTTCCTGCTTTGAAAAAAAAAAAGTGTAGTAAACCCTAAGTTTAGTCCGAAACATAATATCTTTGAGGGACTAGTACATGTTTTTACAGACAGCACCAATTGTTCATGCAAAATTATGCACGTTCCGGAATTGAACATCTTTCCTGCAAGAGAAGGGAAGTGGTGACTGAGACTTGCATCGACGTAGTACTAGTCGGGTACATTCTGATGGTCAATTTAATAATTTAACTATTGTATAATAAAGAAAAGACTGTGTATTTATTTTTTATCTGCCTTCTTTTTATTAAGAGTAAACTAGTAAGAGTAAACGTAAGTTTAATATTTCGTATCATTTATCATAAGGTTTTTTATTTATCAATGCTCAAGGTTTGTATGGCCACACACTAAAATGAGGCATTGTGTTGCACATATTATAGGAGCATATGACAATGAGGAAGCAGCTGCCCGTACCCACGATCTTGCAGCACTTAAGTATTGGGGGCCCGACACCATTTTAAACTTTCCGGTGCATAACTAAACTTTGTACTTTATATATATATATATATATATATTGGAATTTTATGATAAAGTTTTGATTATAAAGGTATGTATTTATATATATTTGGTGATAAAGTTTTGATTATAAAGGTATGTATTTATATATATTTGGTGAAATACAGATTGATACATATATTAAGGGTCTGGAAGAAATGCAAAAGCTATCCAAGGAAGAATATTTAGCTTCACTAAGGAGGCAGAGCAAAGGATTTTCTAGAGGAGTTTCTAATTACCGTGGGGTATCATGGTATATGTATATACAATTTTTTTTTTTTTTTTTTTTTATAGAAAGTTTATTATAAAATAATATATATTTGTGTGAATTTAGCTTACTATAACATTGCATTTACAAAGAATTTGTGCTTTGCTGGATGGGCAAAAAATGGTCAATTTTGTGTAGTTCAAGTTTAAAATGCATGAACTATCAAATACTAGGAGTAGGTATGGCATAACTCAAATTATTTTATAGAAATATATATTTATATACATATATATAATTTACAAGACTACAATTATTAATTTTTTGGACAAATTTCACGAAACCCCAATACTATAAGTTTTTGATCAAATACACCTACTTTAGAATACCCCCAACACTATGAAATTTGATCACATTGCGCCAACTCTGTGATAAAAGAACGAAACTATCCTTTTGATATACTAAATTAATTTTAAAAGCCAAAACAAGTATTTTTGTCAATTACAAAAATACCCTTGGTGACATTTAAGTCACCAAAGCACAAAATGCATTCGTTTTGTGTGTATATATTATATGTATATGTATATATATATATATATATATATATATTATTCACCTCCCTTATCTTCCATCACACTTTCAACCAGAAAATCACAGTTAACAAACCAAATTAGTAAGAGGAAACATTGTGCACCTGGTTAGATCAGCAGACGAAGTTTTCGAGAAATTGAAAATCGTCGGATTGATAATGATTTAGCCGTTTTTCGGCGGCGAAGAGCGCACAGAATCGAAGCTCCGATTGACAAAGGTGCCGCTGGTGAATCTGAAGCGTACGGACTAGATGTGGAAGGTTGAAGATGCAAGAAATTCTCATTCTCAATTTAAAAAGAGTAATTCTACACTTTAAAAATTGTTCAACCCCTTTTCCCTCTATTTTCAGTCTATTTATAGACTGTTACAGATCTTTTAGAAGCTTCCTAACTAACTCCCTGCACTAGGTTATTCTTCTGGGCTCTTCTTGATTATGGGCTTAATTCCTTTTATCTAAAATCGGGCTTCCAACATGATTTCCCGATCCTGGGCTTGACTAGTGAAGACTTGGTCCAGAACGGTTGCTCTTGCCCGACCTGCTCTTAGCAATCTGGATCGTACCCGGCCCAGGTCATTCTTGGTATCCTCATCTGCCCCCATAATCTCTCCCTAATTAATTAGGGTGAGATTATCGAAATGACATAATCATGATATGACGGCTCAAAGCAGTGACGTGGGGAAGTGAACGGTTGGTTCAGAGACCCATGCTTCGAGATCTGCTGCACCATCTTTACCATAGTTTATCGGATGTTTAACCATTTTCACTTTAAAAAACCCCAACTTTTCACTTCTTGTGTTTCTTCAACCTTCCTCACCTCCATCTTCAAGTGTCATTTTCTTCGATTATTTTTGTCACCTACCTGTATTCTCTGGCGGGCTTCCCTTGTTTTCTCTGGCGAGTTTTTCCTTTTGCGATTCGACTTTCGCTTTGGTACAGGGTACTTTGCAAACTCCTTTTCTAAGGTTAGTTCTTTTTTCTTGCTACTCTCTTTAGAAGAAAGGAATTTTACACTTAAAAATTTCATCCTTTTTTTATTTTTTTATTTTAATGGCTCCCCTTGATTTGGATGTTATTCGTTCAAAGAACAACATCCCAAACGACGTCTCCCTAAGGGTTTACCCCACAGATCTGGATGAGAGCTCCGGCGAGGGTTTCATTCCTGGGGAGATTCTCTTCTCGGCTCTTCATTTGAATGTAATCAGATTTCCTTTTCACCTGTTCTTCTGTTATGTTCTCAGTAAATTAGGGCTTTCCCATCTTCAGGTTAACCCTAACTTCTTTAGGGTGATATCGGTCCTTTTAATTTTGAATCGTGATAGGGGTCTTGACTTAGATATCATAGACCTTCTCCTTTGCTATCGAGTTACCAAAATCAGAACCAAGGAAACATATTTTCACGTCTTTCCCATCGAGAAACGATCTATTTGTATGGATAAACTCTTATTTGAAAAGGGTTGGAGGAAAAACCTAATTGGGGTCAGTGAAAATTGACGAACCCCATTCGCTCAGACCTTCCCTATCCCAACCTCCTTTGGAGAGTGCTCTGTCATTCAATATAAGAAATTTAAGAAACATCCCACCGACTGCCATTGCGAATCTTGTCTTCCTTGTTTCTGTACTTTTCTTTGTAGATGCTTTCAAATAAATCATGACGAATTGGGTTACAGCGTTTGCAGGGCCAGACTTGACATTCTGAAGGAGAGATTCTGAATAACATCCCCTCAACTACTCACCTGCTCACCCTGACAATCTCTCTGACATATCTGTCCTTGGATCTACCATGGAGAGTATCCAAATTCCTTCTTTCAGCAGGAGGAGGCGTTCTGCTCCCATTCCTCCAACTACACCAGCCATCACTGCGGCCGCCTTACCCATCCTGGTTATGGCCCAAGCTACCGAGCATCCAATCGTTGGGCCTCTTACATCAACCTTAGCTGAAGTTCAGCCTATCGTGCTGAACAACGAACCCTTTGACACTTTGACTGAAACTTCCCCACATGGTGCTTAGAATGTTGGGGGTTCTTCTCAAAGCGCTGAAGGATCTCCTTCCACCCGAACTGACGTTTCAGAAAAAAGCCTAGGAAAAAGATCCATGCCTAAGGGTGGTTCTGATCAAAGTGACATCCCTCTAGCTCGAAGGGCCCGGACTTCTTTCCGGGTCACCAATCCTACCCCTTTTCCTCAATTATCCATTCCAGAGGGTGAATCAGCCAGACCCTTTGGCTCTTCACCAACAGTGACCCCACGACGTCCCTTGCTTTGTCGTGAGGATGGGTCAGTTATTACCCCCATAAACTTTTTGTTCAATGACCCAGTCACATCATTTGCCTTCTACAAGGATTTTTGGACCCCTAAAGACATTAAAGTTCAGAACAAAATGACCTTCAATGAAATGTACCAACGCTTCCCAGCAACTGCTGTTGAAGTAATTCTTTCTCTCCTTTTTACTTTTTCGTTTTTCCCATTTTGGTTATTTGACACTTGTACTTATCAGAACACATTTGCCTTTGTGTAGAATTTATTTTGGATGTTTACCTTCCAGAAGAGTATTGAAGCTGCAAATAAGAAGATCAAATCCCTCTTTGTTGGCCTTCAAAGGCCAGTTGACTCAGAAAAGATAACTGAAGCCAAAAACACAGAGCTACTGGTTAAGTTGAATGAGTCAGAGAAGGAGATGGACGCTCTGAGGGCTGAGAGGGATGCTCTAAAGACTAAGCGAGATGCTCTAAAGGCTGAGCGGGACGTTCTCCAAGATGAAATTGACGTTTTGAAGACAGTGAGGAACGTTGTGCAGACAGAAAGGAATGCATTGAGGGCAGAAAAGGGGGACCTTTAGTGTACTTTGATTGCTGAATGGTTGACCTACTCCAATTCCGAGGAGAAGTTCTTAAATGAATGCTCCGCTCTGTTGAACATCATAGGCAGAGTTGATGGTCGCATGAGAGCTCTCTATGCTCGTTTCACTAGGATAGGGGTTCTTAGGTATGCCGAGAGGTACAGAGACGGTTTTATTGACCGTTCTCCCCCTGAGGGCGAATCAAGCTCCTGTGCAGGTCCAGATGAGCGAGATGCCTCCCTGGACATTAACCCGCTAAACACCTACCAAGATCTACTCCCTGCTCCTGCTGAAAACATATTTATTGAGTGTAACGAAATTGCAGCTTCAGGGGTGATCCCACCTAATCGTCCTGCTCCTCTGAGTGTTCCTCCTATCACCACCATTACTCCGGCTATTGCTGCTGCCACTGATAGAGCTCTGCCAACTGATGAAGTCATTCATCTCGACTCTCCCTCCATAGGCGATGAAACAGCCAATGATGGAGAGGGAAACAGTGAGCCAGTTGGTGATGATGGGGTATGTAATGGATCCGGCATAGGAGAAGGTACTGCAGACTAGCGTTCTGCTGACTTTTGTAGTGATTTTCCCTTTTATTTCAATGCCAACTCATGTACTTCAGAAACTACTTTGTGATGAATGAAATGACAATTCTGTTTTGCTAAGCCTCTATTCTTTAACCTGTACTTGAATGAGTTGATAGTTTGATTTTTCTATTTGATTTTCATTTCACACGAGTGTTTGACATTTGGCTCGTAGTGCTATTTACCACTTACTTAGCTAAGTGTTTGGCGCTCGGCTAGAATGTCACTTGCCAATTTTATTTGTGCGCAAGTGTTTGGCGTTCGGCTCATAGTGCCACTTGCCACTTACTTGGCTAAGTGCTTGGCGCTCAGCTAGAATACTACTTGACAATTTTTCTGCAAGTGTTTGGCATTCGGCTCATAGTGCCACTTGCCACTTACTTGTCTAAGTGCTTGGTGCTCGGCTTGAATGCCACTTGGCACTTGACACTTTTTATGCAAGTGTTTGGCATTCGGCTCATGATGACACTTGCCACTTACTTGTCTAAGTGCTTGGCGATTGGCTAGAATGTCACTTGCCACTTGGCACTTTTTATGCAAGTGTTTGGCGTTCGGCTCATGGTGCCACTTGCCATTTACTTGTCTAAGTACTTGGCGCTCGGCTAGAATGCCACTTGGCACTTTTTATACAAGTGTTTAACGTTCAGCTCATAGTGCCACTTGCCACTTACTTGGCTAAGTTTTCTTTGTTCAATCAAATTTTGAAACTAAATGAATTCTTTTTATAGATCTTTGAAAAGTCTATACATTTGCAATAATGTAACTTCAAATGAGTATTGCTTAAAATATAATTAAATTTCTACTGATAGTACATTTTCAGAGATGTGGCATTCCATGGTTTGCTGACCAACCTTTCAGCCATAGTCTCTAAAACGTATGCCCCTTTTCCTATAGCTTCTGCCACTCTGTATGGGCCTTCCCATGGTGACATCATCTTTTTGATAATCCGCACCTTCTTCTTCAGAACCAGATCGCCTGGTGCAAAATCTTTATACTTCACCCTTTTGTTGTGGTTATTCACGAGTGTCTGCTGATA